AACCTATGTGAACATTAATCACAGTGGCATTGTTGTGAACATCCCAGTAGTACATTATCATTGATATGTGAACATTCACACTGTTCACATTTGAATCACTGATGTGAATGATGACAGAAACATAAGTGTTGTGGCACTGTTGTGAACATGCACAGTAGTATGTTATGATCAGTGGTTCAGATGTGAACATTCACATCTGTGAAATATAATTGCCTATGGACATTCACATCAGAGGTGCAGATGCCAATGTTGACAGTTGGCTTAGATGAAAAACACTGGAGGACATTTCAATGTTATTATTGGAAAAGATGGGTACTTACCATCAATAACATGACACAGCCGGTGACTTTTGCTGGATTTTTGTCATTTTGAGAAATAGACGATGTCAACATTGTCCTAATTTGCTTGGCCCAATCATATTCTTGCATGCTTTCCAGCGGGACCATATGTGCGTAGTAGCCCCATCCTATTGTCTCTCCGCTTGTTGAGAAAAAAAGCTTCTGGCAAGCATACATGCACACTAGTCGGGCAACTTCTTCGTTGTCATCTTTCTTTTTTCCTTTCAATGCCTCGGTCAAAAGGGTTTGTATCCATTTAGAAGTCAACCGGCTGACATTTTTGCATCTTCTGTTTACAATGCCAGTCTTTGGTTTCGCACCGTATGTTATGTCCATTGGCTTGCTGCCACAGTCCACACCGAAAATCAGCTTGATGTCGCTGTTGTGTATTTTCATCTTATTCTGCCCAATGTAGAAGGCATCTTCTGAAGCTTGGTACATTTGTAGTACATGCACAACAACATTATCATACTTCATGCGTTTATCCAGGTCGATTTGATTGTTTCTCAATGCATCAAACAAATTCCAAAAAGGTGTTTGTCGAAGGCACCGAAGCTATGCTTCTGTGAACTTGGTGGTTTTCATTAATTTGACCAGTCCGGTCATATTAGATCTGTAGTTCACATGGCGCTTGTCGACATTGGTGCAAGTATTTTTTTTTGGGGTTTCTTCCTTCACATGGGACTCATCTCTTTTTCTCTTTCCGGTTTTCTTGTGTGTGACATCTGCAAAATGGAGCATTTAAAAAAAATTAAGTGAAGGCTCATGTGATTAGCATAGCGGAACAGATGTGAACATTCACAGCATTTCCACTGATGTGCATGTTCACAGTTGTGTGCGTGGGTGTGAATCACCAGAGTTTGTGTGTGGTTGTGAACATTCACATAGGTACATGAATGTGTATTTCGACTGTGTCACGACAAACACAATGAACATATCGTGTCAGTGTGTGGTAAACAATGCATTTTTATACAACCATGAACATCGTTGAAGAGCATGTATAAAATTTTCAGGCAATGTGAATGTTCACAGCATATAAGAGCAGCACCAATAATATCTGATTGTCCTAAAATAGTCAGGGAATGTGAATGTTCACAGCATCGAACAACAGCACAAATAAAATCTGACTCTCTTAAAATTTTCAAGCAATTTGAATGCTCACAACCTAGAACTACAGCACCAACAATATTTGACTATCCAAAAATTTGCAGGCAATGTGAATGTTGACAGCATAGAACAACAGCACCAATAATATCTGACTCAACTAAAATTTTTCAGACAATGTGAATGTTCACATCCTACAGCAAAAGCACCAATAATATCTGATTGAACTAACACTTTCATGCAATGTGAATGTTCACATCGTAAAACATTAACACCACCAACATCTGACTCTCCTAAAATTTCCAGGAAATGTGAATGTTGACAGCATAGAACAAGAACACAAATAATATATGAATGTCCTAAATTTTCAGGCAAATTTTACAGACAATGTGAATGTTCACAGCCTAGCCCAAAAGCACCAATAATATCTGATTGAACTAAAACTTTCAGGCAATGTGAATGTTCACATGGTAGAACATTAACACCGCCGACATCTGACTCTCCTAAAATTTCCAGCAAATGTGAATGTTGACAGCATAGAACAACAACACCAATAATATCTGAATTGTTAAAATTTTCAGGCAAATTTTACAGACAATGTGAATGTTCACAGTCTAGAGCAAAAGCACAAATAATATCTGATCGAATTAAAACCTTCAGGCAATGTGAATGTTCACATCGTATATCATTAACACCACTGACATCTGACTCTCCTAAAATTTCCAGGAAATGTGAATGTTGACAGCATAGAACAACAACACGAATACTATCTGAATGTCCTAAATTTTTCAGGCAAATTTTCAGACAATGTAAATGTTCACAGCCTAGCCAAAAAGCATCAATAATATCTGATTGAACTAAAACTTTCAGGCAATGTGAAAGTTCACCTCGTAGAACATTAACACCACCGACATCTGACTCTCCTAAAATTTCCAGCAAATGTGAATGTTGACAGTATAGAACAACAACACCAATAATATCTGAATGTCCTAAATTTTCAGGCAAATTTTCCAGACAATGTGAATGTTCACAGCCTAGCCCAAAAGCACCAATAATATCTGATTGAACTAAAACTTTCAGGCAATGTGAATGTTCGCATGGTAGAACATTAACACCACCAACATCTGACTCTCCTAAAATTTCCAGCAAATGTGAATGTTGACAGCATAGAACAACAACACCAAAAATATCTGACTGTCCAAAAATTATCAGGCAATGCGAATGTTCACAGCCTATAACAACATAAACCAATAATATCTGATTGTCCTACAATGTTCAGGCAATGTGAATGTTCACATCTTCCAACAACAAGAACAACAACAGAATTGGCCAGAGTGTGTCAATGCCTGTGAATTTTCACAGCATACAACAACAACACCATTAATACCTGATTACGCAAACATTTTAACTCAATGTGAATGTTCATATCTGTTACCAACAGCAACAAAAAAAGAACTGGCCAAAATTTTTTTGAAACCATGTGAATGGTTACAGCATTGAACAACAACGGAGTAACATCTGGAATAATTTGATCATCAAACCATTTCCAATCAATGTGAATGTTCACATTTTTCAATAACAACAACTACAACCAGAACATTTTCGATTGTTGACAGTTGTGAACACAATGTAATGGCAAGTGTAATGTTTTTGAGTGCAAAAATGAAAAAATTTAGGGATTACGATTGAGGGGTTCAGAATAAATGAATGCTTACGTTTTTTGCCCATTTCGACGACAAAGATGTTGAGACGAAGGGACGATTCGACGAAGAAACGTATACAGTTTTCTGGGCGTACGAACGGCGAAGAAGATGATGCGACGATGTGACGATCGAACGAAGACAGGCTTGTCGGCGTAGGGATGGGGAGAAGATGATGAGACGATGCGACGATGCAACGATGGAAGGAATACAGTCTTCGGGGCGTCGAGGCGATGTGGAATATGGTTTGGATTTCTGGACTGTAGAGGTACTGTGCGTGATTTCTTGCGCAAGAATAAAGAGGGGAAGAGAAACGGTTATTAGATTCAAAGAGAGAGAGAGAGAGAGGGGCGCGTGTTTTTTTAGGGCTTTTTTGGTCTTTTTGTATAAAATGGACCTAATAAAATATTATAAAACAGTATGAATTTCATGAAACAACACTCTTAGATAATAAATTTACTAAAAAAGCCCTCAATAAATAACATAATGGTTAAACAATTAGAAAGAGACTATCCTCATCAATAGATCTCACAATACCCTCACCTTCCGTGCTCTTTGGGACCAGGACCGTCCGACCCACCACTCTTTCTTTCCCTTTTTTATTTTTTTTATTTTGGTTAAAAAAAAAAAATCCGACCCACCACTATCACCCACGAATCCACGATTTTTTCTCTCCTCGTGTGTAACATTACATTACAGTACTCTATTTGTATTTTTCTATACTATTATTATATAAAGTAAATATTTTGAAAATTTTTAATTCATTTTAAAAATACTCATATTATTAATTATTTCAAAATTAAATTATCAAATTCAACACATCTTTTTTATTTATAAAAACTATTAATAAAAATTAAAAAGTTAACTGCTAGGGAATAGTACGTTTAACTACAATTTATTATAATAAGGTTAGTGATTCAATTCTTATCACTTGTAAAAAAAAGTTTGTGAACACAATTGGACCAGATTATTGATAGATAATTTGTTTTTAAAAGGAATCTAATTAATTAATTTTTAGTAATTATGGGAACACAAAAACTAAACATAGAATGAAACACAACCCTCTCACAAAAAATGAGACCCACATGCATTTAATTTCTGTGCATATAAACTTATCCATAAATTTTATAAACTCTTATTTATTTGTGTTTAGCTTTGTATCTAATTTTTATAGCATTTGCATGAGAATTATTATAATTTTATATACTCCCTATGTTTCAAGATATTAGTCCATAATTTCACTATTTATTACTCAAAATATTAATTTATTTTTTAAAAATAAGAATTAAAAAAGGGAAATTGACTAGTAAATCCCATTTTGTCATCTCGTAGATCATGTGGTCCTAATTGTTTTCTTTTAAACCAATTAGTCCTTAGGATTGTTTGTTTACTATTTTGCCATTGAGGTGTTAATTTGAGTTTGTAGGCCCGCGTGTATTTATGGGAAGGGGTGTGTGTGAGATTCACGTCCCAAAAAAAAGGTAATAGTACTCTTTTTGGATGGTGTGGGTTAGAGGCGCATGATGTGGGACATGAAATAGATGGAGTGAGTGGGGTTATGTCACGTTGGGGGGTGTGTTGTCACGTGACTCAACCCACCAACCCACAAATCCAACTTGCTTTTTACATTCATCTTTACAGATGGGCAATCATCTCCATTTGGAAAGATGAATCGATGGTAAAAGGCGGCACGAACCCTAAGTTTTGTTACGATTATCCACTTTTGGTAACTTTGAACATCGAAGGTGAGTACTTCGATTTGTTTAGGAAGATGATCGGTAAGCCGGTGAGTCCCACTGGGTTTCTTCCTTGGTGTTCGTTGTATTCGGAAGTGAGTGTAAACTCAACAGAGACCAGACTTACGAGATAGCCTTCGGGGTAGAGTCATCGGAATTGCCATTTTTACGGGCTCTGAGAAAACCCAATTGGGCCTCCAACGATCTCGATGCTGTACTGCCGGACTTCTGGCAGAGGAAGAGTCCGCATCGGATGGGCACCGCAGATCGAGATTCTGGCTCACCTGTCAATCGGAGGCTCGTTTCACGCTGTGTGGGGTTCGATGATTGAAACATTGCAATTTGGGCATTGTACAAATTGAGGGAATATTTTACAATGTTGTTCATTGTTGGGTTCAAGTTGTTGTTCATTGTTGGGTTCACGATGTCGTTCATTGTTGGGCATTGTGTAGATCAGAGGCTCATTGTTTCATGTTGTGTGGGGTTTGACGATCTTGATGTTGTTCATTGTTGGGTTCACGTTGTGCTTTTATTCGAATGTTGTAATGTTCACGTTACAATCAACTAAAGCACTGTTGGACTACTAGGTTCACGTTATGCTTTTATTCGAATATTGTAATGGTCACATGAATATTGTGGTGTTCATGTTAACTGCAGCATTGTTGGATTGGGAAAACTTTATAAATGAATTTTCACCACTCCGATTCCACAAAACGTAGGATTACACTTACCCAAAATAAAACAGAACATCTCCATAAATTATGTGGGGGCATATTCGTCCAGCACACAATCATCTACATTCAAAAAAAGACTTATTTGTAAGCAATCCCACCTCACATAGACTTGTCAATCAAACAAAAACTTAGTGGGATCAAAAGGAACACAATTTAGCCATATATAACATAAATTTCTTATTATGTCATTTTTTTAAATTCATTAATTATGATAATTAATACTTAAAAAAAAGTCAAAAGATAATTTTAGAAAATTAATAATATTTTTAAAATATAATAAGAGTGATGCTTCCGACCCCAGTGAGGTGACCTCCAGTGGCACCCCAGTGACGTATCAGCCTCTCATTAACTGGAAAAAAAAAATAAATAAATAAATAAATTTTGAGCCAATCACAACCAAACCCAGCACCCCACTGGGGTCCGAAGCATTTTCATAATAATTAAACCGCTTACAAAAAATTAAAACTTCCTAAAATGAAAGGGACAATGGGAGTAATATATTGTGAGTGACCATTCTGTTAACTAACACGTTCGCCCCACGTCCAGATTCTTTTTCTAGATTTCAAATTTTAATTCTCCTTTTCAAATAGTTTACAAATTCATCATTCCCCCTCATCCAACCCATCTCTGTCATCAATGGAAGATAGTGTACATTTCTTTCTCTTTTTCTCTTCATGAATGTTACTTTGCTTTCTCAACACCCATCTGTCTCACACACCAAGCAAAACAAAAAAACCAAAAGCCCAAAAAGCAAAAATCGATTCAGACCCAACCCAATTCGCCATGAATGTTGTTTTGCTTGCACACCACACCTCTCCCCTGTTTCTCTCTCCTCCTCCACTTCTTCTTCTCTGTCTCACTCTCTAAGCCCCCACATCCCCAATTTCATTTCCAACGCCAAATGTCTAAGAACCCATCTCATCCAGACTTCGAAACAATGTCCCACTTCGATTTCCTCAACAAATTCAAGCGCTTGAGACTGTTCGAGCCCTCTCTGGGAGTTCTGGGTTTCTTTCTCCTCACACTCTGTTTCATATGCTGCTTTTTTTACTTGGATTACAGAGCTGTGCCCAAAGGTCTCCGAATCTCAACACAATCCGACAGGTTTGTGTGGCTGAGATTTAATGGGTCTGGGTCCGGAGAGGATCCAAAGACTGAGTTTTTGAGTGAAATGGGTAGTGGGTGTGACGTGTTTGAAGGTGATTGGGTCTGGGATGAGAGCTACCCATTGTACCAATCCAGAGATTGTAGGTTTTTGGATGATGGGTTTAGGTGTTCTGAGAATGGACGGCCTGATTTGTTTTACACCAAGTGGCGTTGGCAGCCCAAAGCTTGTGACTTGCCCAGGTTCATCCTTTATCTTTGTTTTTCCATTGTCTGCGTTTTCCTGGTAAATAGTGTTTGGTTGCTGAGAAAATTTGGAAGAAGGAAGAAGGTTTCAGTCTTTAAATTGACTTGAAGAAGCATATACACAACTCCTATACCAAATTTGGCATGGTTCAGTAAATTACTGTGCCGTCACAGTGATCAGTTCTTTTAGTTTCTCGTTATAGCAGCTTTCATTAACTGCTATATTTTTCTGTAAGTAAATTTTATTTTAATTGTGAAATAAAAAATTTAGGAAAATGATTGGTGGCCCTAAAAAATTTGCCCCTAATGCCCCTAATTTCCATTTTTAGAAACTGTTTTTTTTTTTTCTTTTTTTTTTCCTTTTTTTTTTTTTTTTTTTTTTTTTTTTTTTTTACTAAAAAGGGAAATTGTGGGGATTCGGGGGACCCCATTCGGGGGGACCAAGCACTGCCCTTATTTTAATTGTGAAATAAAAAATTTAATGGTACAGTCCAATAATCGACCTCTCCTAAGTAGTTTTCAAAATCAATCTGGCTCGAAATCGGGCCTATAATTATTCCCAAGCCCCTCTAGAAGTAAAACAAAAAAAAATAAAAAAATTCGAACTTGCCCATATAACTTAGAGCATCTCCAATGGTAGTAGGCATTTTACCTATCTAAATATTACTATAAAGTATACATTTTATTTTGCCTATCAACGATTTCATGTTTCTACCCCAACCATGCTCTTTATTTTAGCTATTCATCCAAATACTATTAACTTTATAGAATGTCACGTCAGCAACAAAGATGGAGGGAAATAATCTTAATGATTAAATACATTTTGCCTAGCCCTGAAGGCTAGCTACATGTAGCTAGTGAATGTGAGCTGAGCCAAAATGCCTAAGCATATGCCTAGTGCATTGGAGTTAAAAAAAAGTGAGTCACATTAGGCATTTTGACTAACAAGCATCATATGCCTAGTGGGTTGGAGATGCTTACTATTTAGTATAAATATATATATATATTTTTCTATTGTAGGTTAGTGGTTTAAATTTTTTAACCAATTATTTTACATGACTATAATAAATAATTTATGTTTATAACAAAAATTAAAGGTAAACAAAATGAAACATATTAATAAATACATAAATGTATATATATATATATATATAATACAATAATTTGTGGGTGGTGAGAGTGATGTTGGGCTTGAAACACACTTTCTAAATTCGACCCACGTTATAATCAAGCCTAAAATATTTATCCAACACGACCCTAAATTATAATTCCAAACTTATAAATCATGGACAAATTCAGATAAATTTAACAGGTCATTTAGCACATGTCCACCTCTAAATGAAAGTAGTCGAATTGGATCACGAGTGCCTTTGTTGTGTAAATAATTAATGATATTTGTCCTTTGGTTTTGTGCTCTTTGTCCTTTTTTTTTTGTTTGTTTCTTTGTTTCATTTGGTATTTTCCCCCCCGTGAACTAAAACATAATAATGCTATAGGTGAAGCAAAGCAATGAAGACAGACTTCATTTTCATAAATTCTGTTTGTCATTAGCTCTACTATTTATTAATTTTTGCATTGATAATTTCTTGAATTTTGTTGGTGAAATATACTCTTTGCTTCTTAGATATTTAAAATTGCTGACCTTATAAGATGGTAGTAAAACAATGTTGAGTTTGGGTAATCTTACGCCGTGTTTGGTTGGGGGATTTGGAGAAGGATTTGGAAAGAAAAATGAAAAAAGAACGTGAAATGTGAATAAAATATACTTACATTTCACCTAATTTCACACACCTTTTCCAATTCTTTTTTCAAATCCCTTCTCAAATCTCCCAACCAAACATAGCATTAGGGATAGTTTGTTCACTTCCCTTTATCGTCTTGCACTAATATGAAGCATGGACATGTAAATGATTTACATGCGACAAATTTTTTTTAACTAAAAATCTATTTACTAAGTATATAAATATTTTATCCATAAACAACAAACGTTAATGAAAATTAATACTAAGTGTGATTAGAGACTACACTCGTGTTGTGTTGAGGCTCCAAGTTAGGGCTCTTGGAATCATTAGAAATTTGGCTAAAATATGAGTTAAAAAAAACTAGTATGTTTGGGATGACTTTTTGGCTTATTACGAAAAGATGTGTAAAAAGTAGAGAGAAAAGAGAATCTTTGACTTTTTGGTATGGGTTGTTAGCTTTTTGGCTAATTTAATAACTTTTTGGCTAAAAAGTTCGGTTGCCAAACGAGGCCTAAGTATATAAATATTTTATCCATAAACAACAAACGTTAATGAAAATTAATACTAAGTGTGATTAGAGACTACACTCGTGTTGTGTTGAGGCTCCAAGTTAGGGCTCTTGGAATCATTAGAAGTCAATCTCTCAACTTCATAACTATGAGCAGATCTGTGTTGCATTGTCAATAGTTTTATGAGTTCTATATAATTTTTAAATTCGACATTCATGTTCCCAAATATTATAATATGACCCTTGAAATTAGTTTTGAAAATTTGAAATAAGACCCCTTTCCGTCTCAAAGCGTGTCTGTCCGTGTCTTTGTTGTGTCCATTGAACAAAATTATTAAAAATGGAAACAACATGTGGTGTGTTGGGCACGGATCCGTGTCTGACATGGCTACATAACCTATTTTCAAGTGTCAACCTTTCATAGATTGCTCATAACTTGAACTATTTCAGTCTAATGGGCAGAACTCACAAAAATTATTACTCAGTATGTTTTATGATCCCTTATAAAAACAGATTTGATGCAAAAATGATGTTGGAGAAATTGAGGAACAAGAGGCTAGTATTTGTTGGGGACTCAATTGGGAGAAACCAATGGGAGTCCCTCCTGTGCATGCTCTCCTCTGCAGTTCCTCACAAGGATTCCATCTATGAAGTGAATGGCAGCCCAATCACGAAGCACAAAGGGTTCTTAGTGTTCAAGTTTGCAGATTATAACTGCACAGTTGAGTACTACAGGGCTCCGTTTCTTGTGCTGCAGAGCAGACCTCCTGCTGGGTCTCCACCAAAAATAAGGACTACCGTGAAATTAGATCAGATGGATTGGAGCTCTTCGACATGGAGAGACGCTGATGTGCTGATCTTCAACACGGGGCATTGGTGGAATTATGAGAAGACCATAAGAGGGTAATTTGATTTTTTTGAAATGCTTTAATATCACCTTTATTGCTTATATTTTTTAGCATGAAGTTTTGAATTGGGAAACTACTAGAAGATTTTGAATTATGCGAATCATGGTGCTTTGGCAATGGCTGAAAAAAAACAAATATTATGTCATGAATGGCCTCAGATATCATCCTAACTTTTCGATGGCGAGCAACTTTCAATATCAAAGGCCAAATACAAATGACTATCTATCTGGTAGCAGTGAAATGGACAGATACAAGGTTAGATCATGTGAAATTTAGGGTAATGATGTATTATAAGATTATGTTGTTGACAGCCTTACTTTTGGAGAATACCCTTTTCTTTCCTCTTCTTATTAGTAGATAGTTGTAACATGACTTTCTTTGCAGTCAAATTGACTTGAAATTAACACCCGAGTTATGTTTAATCTCGGGGCAAAGTACTATATGAAGAGGACTAAGATATGCCCATAGTTTTGGGCCAAGATTGTATTTTTATGTATAATCAACTAAGCAAATCGCATTGAACTATAGATTATGGTTGGAGAGTGGTTTGATGGGAATGTGTTGGATGCACTGATTGGGCTACTATTGCTTTTATCAAATTTTGACTCATAAATTATCTTCATGAACATATTTTCTGTCAATTTTTGTGTATGCTCTTGCAATGAAGAAAGGGATGAAATATTATGTTAATTATTGGAAGAATTTAGAGTCATGTTGATCGTAAACAATATGTACCTCTATACGGATCTTAAAGATTTGAACATAATGATCAGGGGTAATTACTTTCAAGAAGGGGCAGAGGTAAAGATGGAGATGAAAATTGACAGCGCGTACAGGAAGTCCTTAGATACCGTGGTAGACTGGATACACCGTGAAGTGAATACGAGCAAGACCCAAGTTCTTTTCCGCACATATGCCCCCGTGCATTTCAGGTTGGTTTACTAAAAAGTGAAATTTCATTAAGTTTTGATATTATGCTATTTTTATTTATATCTCTTAAGCCTGCCAAAATCTATTGATTTAAAAACTTGCCTATGGTTTGAGGAACTTCAAATGTTAATGTGGAATATTCAGAGGTGGAGAATGGAGATCCGGGGGAAGTTGTCACTTGGAAACGCTACCCGAGCTAGGGTCCTCATTGGTACCTCCCCAAACTTGGGCCCGGTATAGCATATTTGTCGATGTATTATCAGCTCATTCAAACACTCCAAATTTACAGACATTGGATATATTGAATGTAACAATTATGACTTCGCGAAGGAAAGATGGGCATTCATCGCTATACTATGTGGCCGGACCTGCTCCTCTCCATAGACAGGATTGCAGCCATTGGTGTCTTCCTGGAGTCCCCGATGCATGGAATGAGCTACTTTACGCTTTGTTTTTGAAGCACGAGTCTGCTCAGATTTGGAATTCATCTACACTCCGGGTACAAGCACCTTATTTATTTGCCAACTTGAAAAAGGAGAAGAGAGGAGGAAAATGAGTTTTTTGAGAACATATCAACTGGGGGTCGAGAAGCTCTCGAGTTTAAAGGGTTTTTTTTTTTCTATAGATCAGATTCTGCAGAATCCGGGATTTTGGTCAGATTTTGGTTGTTGATCATAAATGAGGCCAGATTTAGGGGAAAGTTTGGGATTATTGGTATAGGATATAGGAAATTCTTTGGAATATGATTCTTTGGAACATAGGGTGGTATATAGATGTGCTTCAGAACAAGTACTCATGTAGCAAATTTTGATTGTATATTTATAACTTGTATCACTGATAAATGTGATGCTTATATATGGGACTATACAGTGGAATATGACTTACATGAGCACTTCAATTTAAGCTGACTTCGTAAATTTTGTATTGGCATGGTGTGTGATGAATGCTTGAAAAACAGGAATTTTTTTTTTTTTTTTTTTTCACAATGCCAACTAAAATGAGGCATATTGTTGTGTGTCCTGAACGTTTTGGCGAGAGCTTGGATGTTACGTGACTGGTTGTTTATTTAATGATAAATTACAAATACACTCTAAGATTTGCTAAAAATACGAATTACCTTCTGTGATTTAGAAAATTATAAATACTTTCCTATCAGAATTTTTTATTTAACAGAATTAATTAAAAAATAAAATTTTTAATTGTTCACATATACAATAATAAAATTATCTGAATTATTAATTGAAATAAAATTTTAACATTATTAAAAATTATTACTCCTTCTGTTCCAAAATAAAGGTCTTTTTTGGAGAATCTAACTTTTTTTGGTAGTACAATTATTGCACTTTAAAAAAGTTGATTTTCCAAAATTACCCTTTTGATAGTATATTTTTTGAGAATATCAATGTCATAATTGTACTTTTTATATTATTTATTAATTTAAAAGAAGGGAAAAATAGGAAATTTATATTATTTTTGTACTTGATTTCTGAAGAGGGACTAATATTTTTAGACAATAAAAGATGAAATAAGGGACTAATATTTTGGAATGGAGAGAGTAATTAACTTGATGATTTATTAATAAAATGACCTATTTGTTATGAAATTATAAACTTTAGGAGGTATAATGTAATTTTTAGAATTATAAGGAATAATTTATAATTTAAATAAATTTTAGGGTGTTTGTAATTTACCCTTTATTTAGGCCAAGTTTGGCATATTGCAAAAGCTAAAAAGCTAAAAAGCTACTCAAAAAGTTAAAAAGTTAACACTATTCATAAAAAGTCAATAATTACGGCTGCACAACTCCCAATCCTAATTTTTCCCTACACACTAATTTATACAATTTTTTATTTTTACAATTTTTTATTACACATTTTTTCATAAAAAGTCAAAAAGTTAACCCAAATATCCATATTTTCTTTCTCAATTTTTTAGTCCAAGAAGACAAAAAGTACACTTATTTAGGACACCCCAAACAACCCCTTAATTGAGAGGGGTATTCTTTTCAAGCATGATGTTTAAGTTCTTTGGCAACATGCTGGTTTAGCTAAAAAGTTAAAAAGCCAACAACTTATACCAAAAAGTCAAATATTGTCTCTTCTCTCTACTTTTTGCACATCTTTTCGTAAAAAGTCAAAAAGTTATCTAAAATATACTAATTTTTTTAAGGGGAAATCGGTCTAAGGTCCCTATCCAACTTTTAGTAATAGATTAGGTCCATAATCTGTTCTTTTGTAGTCTAAGGTCCCTCACCCCATTCCCACTCCTAAACTCACCCATCTCACACCACTCTCACCACCAAATGAGTGCACCCTCCACCTTGTGCTCGCCTCCGCAACGACACAAAGAAGAGCAAGAAGAAGACCTACACCAAGCCCAAGAAGATCAACTACTCCACCACTTCTACATTCATCCTCTTTCTGATTGCTTGAGATTTTGTCAACCACTGCTTCCATGTATATAACTTTCACTTCTCTCTTCTAGTTAATGCCGTGGGCTCTAGCAATTGCCTGTTCCTCATTTTTTGGGTTTGGATCGGGAGCATATATGATGACTGTGTCACCAATGGAGATCTTCCACGCACCTGACCTCGAAGCAGGCTTCGCAGATCTGCCCTCTCTCAAACACTATGCTGCTCAGCCCCGCCGTCGACATTCCGTACGCGTCCTTCACCAGGTCGCCGTACCTACATGCTCCTCCCACTGCGTCATGGGGGCCCGCCGCCGCGTAGTAGGTGGCATGTGCGGATCTCTACTCTGTAGAAGTAAAACTAGTAGTAGTAGCACTACTACTACCACCCCACCAGGATGATGATGATGAGGAAGGAGATGGGTTGGATGATGAGGAATAGTGTGCGGTTACTAGTAATAATCCTGATGCTAGAGTTAGTAGGAGGAGAAGTCTCAGATTTTGTATCAGATTAACAGACATTTTCAAAGCCAGTTAGAGAGAGAGAGAGAGAAAGAAAGAGAGAGTGGTAGTAGTAGTGGGCAAGGTCTCAAAGCATTTGATGTCTTGTTGTTCTACAAGGTTGATAACTTCGGCAAGGTTCAGAGGCCGAGTATGTAAGCAAATCAGATTGAATTTTCTCCGAATTGTGTGAATTTTCTCTTGATGTGTGAATTTTCTCTGGACTATGAATTTTCTCCAGATGTGTGAATTTTCTCTGGACGTATGAATTTTCTCTGTGCCGACTTGCAGTTCATAGTTTTCACACCTGTGTTGACAGGTAACAAAAATACCCAAAAGAGAAAACCTAAAAGCTAAGAAGGTGTCCAATAGAAACCCATATTCATGTTTCTTTTATATACATATATATCCAAAAATTCAAGCCTTGTATTTTTGTTAATATAATACAGTTTAGTTTGTCAAGATTTTGGATTTTCTCTGGTAAAAGATTTGAATTTTCTTTGGTTTCACAGAGAAAGGATCCTATACAAAAACAAACAATTTTGTTCAGATAAATTTCATTTTTCTCTAGAGAGAAGGGAAATTTCTCTGGATTGGAGAGGAAGAATTTCTCTAGTTTGGGTTGGAAATGGAGAATTTCTCTGGGTTAAGTGAATTTCTCTGGATTGGAGATGAGAATTTCTCTGGTTTTCAGTGAATTTCTCTATGCAGTCCAGAATTTCTCTGGAAATTTTTTTTGAGAAGTTGCCTTTCTTTCTCACCTTTGAGAAGCAAGGAAGTGAGTTGAGGTAGGGGAATTCCTATGTTCAAAAAAAAAAGAGCAGAGAAATTTAGAAAGTTTAGGGAAGTCCGGAGAATTTTCTCTGACTTGAATTTTCTCTGAACCAATTTTCTCTGGACCAATTTTCTCTGATTTGAATTTTCTCTGGACCAATTTTCTCTGATTTGAATTTTCTCTGGACCAATTTTCTCTGATTTGAATTTTCTCTGGACCAATTTTCTCTGACTTGAATTTTCTCTGGACCAATTTTCTCTGGATCAATTTTCTCTGGATTGATGTTGAGGGACCTTAGACATCATGAAAATATTTGATGTCCTTTATAATGTAAAATCATAATATCAGGGACCTTAAAAAAAATACCCCTTTTTTTAACTCATATTTTAACCAAATAGCCAAAAAATTAATAAATTAGTCTGTTCCCAAACGAGGCAGTCTCATGCACAAATATAGAGAATCACTATCCTAAGAAAAATATCACAAATTTTCAAAAAATATTTGTCGCTTAGGCATAGTTTGAGAAGTTGGTTTTGGTGGGTTATGGGCTAAAATAACCACAAAAAAACAAAATATGCTATTTTAACCACAAAAAACAAAACATCAAATCCAACCCATAATCATTACACTTATCTCTCACAATAAAAGTAAAAAAAGTCAAAAAGCCCTTCCCAAACCAGGTTTTTTAGCCCCAGGTTTAAAATAGCAAAAAAGTCAAAAAGTCAACCCACTTCCCAAGCGGAGGCTAAAATTATATGAAAATTATTTTTTTTTTGTAAAAGGAAGATATAAGGTATTAATTTAGGAATAAATAAAATGAATTTAGAATGAAAAGTGATCCGTGTGAATAAATATATATATTTTTTTGGGTGAAAAAAAATACAAGAAAATGAGAGCTTTAATAAGATTGTTAATGATTGATTTGATTTGTGTAATTATCCCATTCTTGAGGCAGCAATAGAAATTTTTCGCATTTTTTGAAGAATTTTTTATTTTTTATTTTTTTATTTTTTTTCCGTTAAGGAGTATAAACACACGTAGTTACTGATGAATTATGTGTATCAATTAAAACTGGACGTAATATTATACTTTTTTTTATTCGTATTTTTATGAAATTCTTTCTTAAAAACAAAATTGTAGCCAAAATTTTACATTTAGTAAATTAAATCACTCATAATATCTTTAACAAAGAACTATATATGACCTTAATTAGGTGGTGTTTGGCAAGTGGGTTGGGGCTAAAATAGCCACAAAAGACAAAACAGGCTATTTTAGCCACAACAAACAAAACATCACATCCAACCCATAATCATTACACTCTTCTCTCACAAAAAAAAGCCAAAAAGTCAAAAAGCCAATTAAAAACAAAATTGTAGCCAAAATTTTACATTTAGTAAATTAAATCACTCATAATATCTTTAACAAAGAACTATATATGACCTTAATTAATTATTTACAAAGAAATGTGAGGTCCACTGCTGATTTACGTTTTAAAAATGGGGTGAATTATAAACATATTTATGAGATTTGTTTAAAATATAAATTATTTTTTGTAATTTGAAAAATTATAAATACTCATTTATTAGAAATTTTTATTTAATAAAATTAACTAAAAAAATAAAATTTATAATTGCTCTCCTAGACAATAATAAAATTATCTAAATTATTAATTGAAATATATTTTTAACATTAAAAACTATTAATTGACTTGATAATTTATTAGTAAAATGGACGATTTGTTATGAAAGTAAAAACCTCAATGACAAATATAATTTTAAAAAATACGATTCGTATTTTAATCAAATCTTAAAAGGTCTATTTGTAATTTATCTTTAAAAGTAAAAAAAATTCTAGAGAGGAGGGGTGCGAAGGTTAAGACATGAACACCCCAAGCGTAAGGATTAAGCTACCACTAGCCCAATACAGTCCTTTTGTGTAAATACTGGTGCGTGTGCGAGTTTCAGTGAAATCTGTGAGTGTTCTTCCAATGGCGGACTCAACGGCGCAAGTTAGCAGATCCAGAGACCTGGACAAGCTCCTCCTCAGGCCTGGCCATCTCGTCGGCCCTAACTTCGAACCAGGCCCCGAAGTACTCTCTCTCTCTCTCTCTCTCTCTCACACACACACACACACACACTCTTTTTTCTCTCTGAAGAATTTTCACAAACACTTGGTCGGCGTTAGAGACAAATGGATTTTCATATTTGTTTTGGTGTTTTTGCGTAGTTGAGAGACGATCTTCAAGAATATGCGAAAGTGTTGGTGGTTGGAGCCGGTGGATTGGGCTGTGAGCTACTCAAGGACTTGGCTTTGTCGGGGTTTCGGAACCTGGAAGTCATTGACATGGACCGAATCGAGGTCTCCAATCTCAATCGCCAATTTCTCTTCAGGTCATACACTCCCTATTTGATTTCCTCATCTTTCCTTTCTATCCATTTATTGATTCTATATAAATTTCTGTTTATGTATCTATCTGTATGTATGTACATGATGTATATATGTGTAGGCACATTTATCTATTGCCAAACCACATTTAGTGCTAGGGTTGAATTGAATATCAATGGAGTAATCAGGGTGGAATGGTCTTCATGAGCTCATCTGAGGTGCTTAAACCAAATTTTTTCCCCATGGGTTAATTTCTGAACACTATGTTGTTGCATGAGATTGATAGTTATCCATGTCATGATCAGATTGTCGAAATATTGGTGTCAATCTAATTACCAGGATGCTCTCACATAAAATTTGGTACCGGAGTGAGCATTATAATTCAGAATACTATTTTTAAATAGTGATATAGTTGTCATAGTATTAGGGATAGCGAGGGACCCAAAATTAACTTTTTAAATTAAGAAAGCAAACAATTTTAGTGAATTTTATAAGGTGTGGCTTTTATGGTCACAGCAGTAGTCTACCATGCCTTACATACTCTTTATATGCTAAATATTTGATAAGATCTTATGGGGCCCAGGAACCAAAAGCAGTGCAACCATGGATGAGATCATGAGAATCCACAGATTGCATCAAATGCCAACCTCATAAGTGGAGCTCAAAGGAGAACACTTTTACTAAATCTTAGAGCTTTCTTGCTTTCCTTGAAGTGTAAAATCTGATGGTTAGTAGCTGAAGCGTAACACTGTTGAGGGTTCTGGTCCATCTGGAGATCGTTTAAGAATGCTTGGATAAAGATGGTTTTAGTGGGATTGTGTGGTGCATTATGATGCCCCTATTATGCAGACAGTGAGAGGATGTCCTTCAAAGAAGGGCAAGAAATAATGGCTGGTTGGGGGTGAGATCGGTGGTACGTGGGGGAGAATTTTTTTTTATTTTTTATTTTTAATATGGAAAGTGAATTTTGCATGTTAAGTGCCTTCCAAGATATATTTTGTTTTCTTACAGTGCAGCTGTGGAGGTCTATAGACAATTTGGGCCATTACAGGAGGTGCTTCCCAATAGGTTTTGTATGCATAAGAGGGCAAAAGAAGTGGCAAATTTTTTTGTGTTAACACCATAACATTGCTATAGATCTTTGGGACATGTTCAATAATTTTGGAATACGTTGGGGTATGCTGCGGTCAGTCGGTGGTGGACTTATGGGGCTGTTAAGATGGAGGTTGCATGTGTAGGAGAATGTAGGGTTCTCCATGTCTTATATGCGGTGTTTTAAAGAGAGGAAATAGGCGATTTATTTATCAAAAAAAAAAGAAAAAAAAAGAGAGGAAATAGGCATACTTCTGCAATTTTCAGACGTAGAGATGCATACTTGAAGAGATTGCTTTTGCAGATTTTACAGTTACTGATTTCAGGAAAAAATTTCAGTTGTTGTGTTGATTGTGGTGACTGGTGAGGTTTAGAAGAAAAATGGACTGGGGCTGTGAGATGATTCGTGATTTTGGTGCATTACGATCTCGCCCTGAGTTAATCTGCAGGCATCCAAGTGACATCAATGAAGAATGTGGAGCAGTTAACACATCTGGTTGGCCAACTCATAATGGAAGTAATTCCAGTTACAGCATAAGGATATGTTTGAGTGAAAACTAGACATGATTCATAATTATCATGATTTATTGCAATGACATATTGGAGATGTTTGGCAGTAAGTGCATATTGATTCTGGCGTCTATTTTGATCAATCATTTGCATCATTCTCTATGTATAAAATTTGTTTAGGGTTTTACCTTATTTGACATTCAACGCTGTTGAGGATACTGTTAAATTAAAAAATTTCTTTTGGTTAAACTTTCCTTGTCAATTTTCGCAATGTATTCTATTTCTTTTAACTAACTGTTTCTTAGTAATGATCTTGCCTTTATAGGCTTCAAGATGTTGGAAAGCCCAAGGCTGAGGTAGCAGCAAAACGTGTCATGGAAAGAGTTGCTGGTGTGAATATTGTACCACATTTTTGCCGTATTGAGGACAAAGAGCTTGACTTTTACAATGACTTCAATATTATTGTTCTTGGGCTTGATTCTATTGAGGCTCGGAGCTACATAAATGCTGTGGCTTGTGGTTTTTTAGGTATATGTTTTATGTTATCTTCTAATGTGGCATTTTATAAGTAATATGATTTTCTGTTTCATTGATTATTGAATTTTTTTTATTCATGACATGTTTTTATTCAATTAGACTGCCTGGACCTAAATTTGCTGTTGATTTGTTCCCCCAACCTTCTGTGGAGCCTTGTTTTGATGATTTGTGCCCCCCAGTTAATGTTGCTTATTAGATTAAAACTTGTTTTGTTATAGCCATAGTTTCCTCCATTTGTTATCATGCTCCAACTTTTTTTATTTTTTATTTTTATAACTTTTTCTTGTGATCACAATTTTATGAACCCTGCACTGCATCAAACTGTAATCCACTGGTCTTTATGATAATGAAAAAATAACATTTCATGTATGCATTATGTGCAATAAAACATTACCAAAGATCTTAAGGGTAAAACTTGTTTACAGAGTATTCTAAATTTGAAAAACTACTTATTGTTGAACTTTTATCCAAAATTTTTTGCCATGTGATCCTCATAGACATTGACTTTGATTGCCAGCATATTTGGAGTCTATCTGGCCATAGTTTTGGCTTTTAATATATCTTAAATTATTAAGTAAATGTTTGACACTCTATGTGATTTGTTTCGTTGTTCTTTTGTCTAATGTTACTGTTATGCCATGCATGTATTAATTCTTAGTTGTGCCTAACATGTCCATATTGCCAAAGTGATTAGCTTGGCTAAAATCTTATTGGTTTATTAAAACTTAGAGTACGATTCTGATGACAACCCACGAGAAGAAACAGTGAAGCCTATGGTAGATGGTGGAACTGAAGGCTTCAAGGGCCACGCTAGGGTTATTGTTCCTGGGGTCACACCATGCTTTGAGTGTACCATTTGGCTTTTCCCCCCTCAAGTGAAGTTCCCTTTATGCACACTCGCTGAAACTCCTAGAACTGCTGCTCACTGCATCGAATATGCCCATTTAATAAAATGGGATGAGGTAGCTCATAATTGCATTTTCCTCCTCTTCTAAAGTTGTGTTTCGTGGATAATTTTGTCATCATGACATTTCGCATTTTGACTGCAGGTTCATAGTGGAAAAACTTTTGATCCTGATATCCCTGAACATATGCAGTGGGTTTATTCGGAGGTTAATATAACGCCATTTTATTTTTTTGTTTTTTCTCTTTACACTTTCTTTTGTTCCTTTTTACTTATCCTACCCATATTCCGTAGGCTGTCAAGAGAGCAGAGCTTTTTGGCATTCCAGGAGTTACATATTCTTTAACTCAGGTGAACATACCCTGGTATCCTCAATTCTACGAAAGAGTTTTTCCTTTGAATTGACTGCTTGATGATTATGCAGTTAGGCTCTGGACCTCTGGTGTCCTTTTTTATTGTACATCAGGAATTCATATTAGAAGAATGGTGGTCCTAAGCTAAATTCTTTGTTTTTATCTCTTAACCTTCGATGTGTATCTTTTTAAATTGTTTAGCCTTAGCATTTCCAGTCATATTTGGTAGCATCATGATACTGGTCCAACTTCAATTCTGTTTCTGTTTCTTGATATTGTTATGCATAGTTTTGGTGTAGTACAGTGTTCTATTTATAACCATTTGTTAATTTGAAGTGTTTTTACATGAACGTTATAGTGGCTTCAGCTCTTTGATATTGTACTTTACTCGGTATTTCTTCTTCGTGATAATTGAATAAGATATTTGTCCTTGTTAACAGGGTGTTGTGAAAAATATTATACCTGCTATTGCATCCACCAATGCAATTATATCAGCTGCATGTGCACTGGAAACCTTGAAGATTGCCTCTGGATGCAGCAAAACATTGTCCAATTATTTAACGTGCGTGCTGATTGTCCTTTAATTCATTAACTTCAGCAAATCTTGCCTTAGATGAAGTGACCATTTTATTATGTCTTTTCAAGTAACAAATGTCAACAATTTCCATAGCTACATCCCTAAGGATCCAATATGGTTGATCAATATCATGGTCTATTGTGAAGGCTTTGGTACAGTCAGTGTGCATTTGCTGGGTAAAGCAGTCTGACAAATAACAAATGGTTGAGTAATTGCCTGTCTCTTTTGTTTCTTTTTGCTTCGTTAGCATCTGGATTATCCCCTCCTATCCGGTCGGTCGTTTATTCAATATTTGGATACGTAATGATTTGGAACCTTGCATTCACTCTATCCCATTGAATACTACTACCACATCAACACAGCAGTTTAGCCATGTTTTAATTTCTTGTATACTAATTCAAGCTTCTTAAAGGCAAGGGATGTGCCTTCTCTAATTGGCCATTTTTATTGCCTCACCATGCAACCTAGAAACAAATGCAGCACCTGCAGCTGTCTCTTTAAGACTGCTTCTTCTGTTGTGATTTTTAAAGCTAGCTTATTTTCGTTAGTTTTGCAAACCTAGGGCACCGGTGTTCTTTGACAAAGTAAATTGAATGGATAAGGTTAGACTTAATGAAAATCAGTATGACTGAAAACCCTTTGGAAGCCAAATTTAAAATATGAATTCTCACAAATTCTCATGTTGCTCTATCTCTTCAATTCTCTTGCATCGGTTATATGTGTTAGCATGCTTACCAATATGAATTTGTTGCAGGTATAATGGTGTTGAAGGTCTCCACACTAAAGTGACCGAGTTTGTGAAAGACAAAGACTGTCTTGTATGTGGTCCTGGCATTCTTGTTGAGCTGGACACTTCGGTTACTTTACGAAAGGTGTTTTTCCCTCATGACCCTTGTTACCACTTCTCTTATGAATTATATGTTCTTATTCATTCCCATGTTGGTTTGTGGTTATGACCTATGACTAGGATGTAACTTGGTCGTGGATGACTAATGACTTGGGTTGACAATTGAGACCTGACCTAGGATTTGTTCAGTTGGATTGATTCTTTTTGTCTTGTTCTTTTGGTTAGTTGTTTAAATCTAGGTTTGGTTGAACCAACTTGATCCATGGTCCAATCCCTAACATCTAATGAGTTCTGTTTGTGAGTTGATTAGGTGGCTGAGCACCTGAAGAAAAAAATATATAACTGGAAATTGAAAAAAATAAGTATGAAGCTGAAAACCAACCCAGACAAGTGGATTTTGTATACAGAGTCTTGGTTTGGAACTTTTTGATGCTGCTAACCAATCTAAAGTCAGCTAACCATTGCTATATTGTATGACACTGTTACTGTTGATGTTGTGATTGTGTGCTTCTTAATTGACACCTGTAATCCATGGTACTGTTGTGGAAGTACTGTGCTTTTCTGTGAGTACACCCAAAGTTCAAGTTTTCTGCTTGTAGAGAATTTTTTTGTTGTTTGGTTGATGAAATAGCTTGTTAAATGGGATCAAACAAATATTAATTTTAGTGGGGGAGAATATGCATAAGAAACTGTTGGCCAATGATTTTTACACATTTGATTTCTAATGTGAATTACCTCAATTTACTTTTTGGCAATGTTGAGTTATTCTTGTAAAATAACTTTCTCCTCTCTCTTCATGGAAGATTTGTGTGTGGATTCTCAAATATTAATTACAAGCACCAACATAATATGAATAAACTGGATTTTCAAGGTATTTTGTTCATAAATCTGGTTTTCACTTCACTTTTACAGTTCGTCCTGTCATTCAGGGGGCAATCAATAGTCAGATAATTAGGCATGCAAATGGTTCTGCAAAACTTGCATGTACACTAAATTGGCTTTGTCGGAGCAAATCTTATAATTTAGTGAGATTGGAATGTGAATCTTTGTTAGCTGAAGGTGCATCTCTTTCGATCTCATCATGTACATTCTTCTAGCATTCTTATAATGGTAGTGTGCCATATTACCACCGAAAAATGCATCTTATTGTGGGAGTTGCTGCTCTCTTTGACTGTGTTCTGTCGAAACAAATGGAGAGTTAATTCTGTCCTTGTCTTATATTTATGGTCGGCTTAGTTTACTTTGTATTGCACCAGTTCATTGATCTACTCGAAGAGCACCCTCAGCTTCTTCTATCCCGAGGAAGTGTTACACATCGAGGGAAGAATCTGTACATGCAGGCGCCTCCAGTTCTAGAAGAGATGACACGATCAAACCTCGATCTTCCACTTTTTGACCTGATGGATAAAATTCCAAAGGACGTTGTCCATGTGACTGGTATGGCAAGCAAGAGCGACAGGAAAATATCATCTCTGAGGAAATTACGTGTTGTTTTCAAGAATGTCGATGGGGTTGCAGATATGGACACAGCTGGCGGTGCATAGTTTCTGCGGTGAACCTGTTTTCACTTCGTGATTAAATCCAGAACTAGCTGCAGAGATTATTTTCTCTACCTTTTTTTTTTTTTTTTTTTTTTGTAATATTATAACATCAATGGATTGTATTTTTTTTTTTTTATAGTTCTAATAGTATAGAAATGCAGGAATTGGGGACGGAGTTTCCATGGAGATGTCTTGTTTTGTAGTACTTTCCTGGAGATTTCTTTTGAAAAGAACACTAGTAAAACTGCTAATTGATTAGCAAGAGATTTTATTTCATGAGACTCCAATAAGATTTTATCAGGAAATGTGTGTAGCTCTAAGGCTCCAAGTTTAAAAGGGTAAATTATACCAACTGTTTTTATAACTTGAGATTTGTGCCATTTTGGTCTCTAATATTTTAATTGTGATATATTTGATCTTAAATTTTGAATTTCGTTTTAAACAAGGATAATTAAAGAAACCGTTGCTCCATTTTAAGAGACAAATTTGTTAATTTGATAAAATATAAATTAATTTGACAAAAATAAATGTCAAAAAATTATTTTTGAATTTTTAAAAAGTTTTTTTACTTTCAAAAGATAAAATTATATAAAAATGATAAAATTTTTACATTTTTATTAAATTAATTTTAAATATGTGTTTGGATGATAATCATGTAATAGATGATTGTTTTTCTTGATATTTTTGAATGATTATCATGTAATAGATGGTTATATTTGTTGTTACCAGATATTTTTTTATAATTATTATGTAATAATGGTTATTAAGTTTTTAATATGTAATCAAAATATTTGATAGATGAAATGTTTTAATTTTGAATTTGTTAATTTAATAATGACATCAAAGGTGACACTACATTTGACTTTTGAAAAAATATAAATTAATTTAACGAAAATAAATATCAAAAAAAAAATATTTTTACTTTTCAAAAGATAAAATTATATAAAAATGATGTGTTTTTAATTTTTTTCACCAATTTAACTTTTAGTTTCTTAGAAAAAATTTTTGAAAATAGATTCTGAAAACTAAATCAAACAAAATTTTATAACCAATAAAATTTCAGCATTATTCACTAAAAAAAAAGTCATCATTTTAAATAACATACAAGTTAACTAATATAAAATAAGTTGTATGACGACTTTACTTTTAAAATAGATTATTTGTAAATAAAATATATTTGATTGTCTTTATTTAGAATAAGATTCAAAATTTAAGATAACAAATAATACAAAATTAAAACTACAGATATTGTTAATATAATTCGCCAAATTTAAAACTATTTGCATTAGGTGTGAGATGTTCAACTTGCTTGTTAAAAGGATAGCAAGTTAAAAATTCTGTCTCAATAGGCATGTTAAATAGTTGATGGTGGAGTTTTCTTCTTCTTCTTCTTCTTCTTCTTCTTTTTTTTTTTTTTTTTTTTTTTTTTTTTTTTTTTTGTATTTGTATTTGTCCCGTAACCCTTTTTTTACAAAGTTAAATTTCAAATGCTACATAAACTATCAATTCCTTTGAAGTCACTCGCAGGCATAGCTCAAGATTTACCTAACCCATATATAAGGGGATCAGGATTTCAAGTTTTAGTTTGAGTTTTTTGAATTCATTTTTTAAAAAATTAAAATTTTTTATTTTTCATATATTTTTATTTTCATTGAATTTTTTAATTTTTTAATTTTTTTAATTTTTTTTTTAAATAGACCTAACATAAATATATTTAAAAGGTATAATATTTGTGATTTTTTTTTTTTAAATTCACTAAATATCAAAAATATTAAAAAAATATAAAAATTTAGTATATTTTTCGTATTCTTATATAATTATTGATTTTTTAAAATATTTTCTTACAAATATTTTACTTTTTAGATATATCTAAGTAAGGTATATCTAAAAAGATTAAAAAAAAATTATTTAAAATTTAAAAATATTTACTAAAAATAAAAAATTCAATTTCTAAAAATTAAATCTAAACAATTGAAACCAAACCAGTAATATATTTTCTTAAAATAACTAGATAATGTTCATTCAATGCTATGAAGAAATATGATTGAAATGAACAGGGAACTGAAAAATTGACGAAAATCCATGCACCACAATGTTGCTCTGCATATTTGTGGGTCCCTTGGCCAGCCAGGCAGGAAACCTTGTGGTGTGTGTGGTCCTCTTGCCACTCATAATTCTTGACCAGTTGAGCTATGAATTCCAGCTCAAAAAGAAAAGTCAAGATTCAAGAATAGTGTGTTGAAAATAATGCCCCATCAGTGAATGCATGATTATGGACCCAATTTGGATCTTCTGCTTCAAAATTTTCTCTTTCTTTGTTTTAAAATATTCGTAGTTAGTGGATTTGAATAATTATACTTTACTCCCTTATTTGAAAAATACATTACCTTCTTACTAAAAAAAAATATACATAATTTTCGTATAACTTGGAGTAAAAATTATCACACTAAAAAATACTCTCATATTAGTTTTCAAAAAACTTTTATCGATCTTCAAAATAACCAAACAAAAACTCCAAAACATTCGGTAATCAGATGTCTCCGCAATAGGTAGTGAATGGATTGGTTGCTTTTGCTACCATTTCTCCAGAAATTGAAATTGTTTGATCTGTCTAGTTTACAATCTCTCTCTATTGGATAGTGGGTTTTAAGAAACACTTTTGTTTGGGGAGCAAATCTATCTATCTATCTATATTATATATATAACCAAATGTAATGTTTTCTCATAAAGCTCCAAAAATTTATTCTTAAATTCTCATAGTTTTAGAAAAATAAAAAAATATGTAATACTTCACTTCACTTCTCTTCTTACTATTCAGGTTTTTTCACTTCCTCTCCGTATAATAAAATATAAAATAAAAATAAAATAATAAAATATTCATTATATCCATATTCATCTATATCCATCACTCACAACTTCTACACACATCTACATTCATCCATATCCATCACTTATAACTCCTCCAACTCCGACACACACGTTTTTGTATTTAGTTTATTCCATATTCAATCATTCTATTTCATCTTTTTTTTCTTTCATCTACTTATCTTCTCTCAGACTAACTCATCTTCTTCATTATTATATTTTGCAAGTTTGACGATTTGAGAAAATCATATTATCTTCTCTATTGTTACATTTTCTAAGTTTGATGATATGCAAAAATTATTACAAGGTTGGTGTAATATTATTTTGTACTTTATATCTTTGTGTATATATATTTCTTTTTCCCAATATTTTTCAATTAATCAATACATCTTTTCATCTTCTCCATTTTTATACTCCTAATATTATTTCTTATTTTATATGCATTTTTTTCAATGTTTATTATTTGTGTGTACATATTTCTTTTTTCCAATATTTTTCAATTCATCTACACATCTTAATCAGATTCGATTTGTTTTCTTTTTCCTAACATTTTTCAAGTAATCTACACATCTTTTCATCTTCTCCATTTTTATACTCCTAAACAGTCTATTTGGTTTCAGTTTTCTGAAGACTGAGTTTTTTGTATTTTTATTTTTAGTAAATATTTTTAAAATTTTAAGCGTTTTTTTTAGATGCACATTACTTAGATGTATCTAAAAAGTAAAATATTGGTGAAAAAATATTTTAAAAAATTAATAAATACACAAAAATATGAAAAATATATTGAATTTTTATTTTTTTTTATATTTTTGGTATTTAATGAATTTTTTAAAGATTTTTTTACGAAAATTTTACTCTTTAAGTGTATTTATGTTAGGTGTGTCTAAAAATTTAAAAAAATTTCTTAAAATATTAAAAAAAAATCAGTAAAAATAAAAAAAATACGGAAACAAGAATGTAGAATTTTTTGAAAAGTGTTTTTAGAAAACCCAAACCAAGAAAAGTGAATATTATTTCTTACTTTATATGCATTTTTTCAGTGTTTATTACTTTTGTGTGTATATATTTCTCTTTCTCAATATTTTTTAGTTTATCTACACAACTTTTCATCTTCTCCATTATTACATTTTGCATAGTTTCGGCTTACTTGCTTTTTAATTTGTGGTTTGCATTTGTTCTTTAATTTAATTAGATTTGATTTGTTTTTTCTCATATAACAGTGTTGATATCTTCTTCGACTTTTATAAATCATCTCCTTTACATATCAAAAGTAGTTTACCTCAAATTCAAGAAAATTAAGTGTCTCACGTAACTTAAATAAATTAAAATAAACCTCACTCTCAATTAAATAAATTAATAAAAAAAAATATAAACCTACAAATATGTATCCAATGTCTATCACATTATTTTTATAAAAAAAAAAAATTTCTCAATTATCTGTAACTTAAATATCACATAACAACTTAAATAAATTAATAATAAAAATGTAAACTCACAATATATATATATATATATATATATATATAAATTACAACTATCCAATGTATATCATATTATTTAAAAAAAAACTCTCGAATATCTGTAACTTAACTAAATTAAAAACACATATACAAATTATAAATATCCAATGTTTATCATGTTATTTAAAAAAAAAAAATCCATAAGTCTTATTCATACAATTTACTCATGCATATCCATCACCCACAATTCACTCAATCAGATGTCTATCACGTAAAATCTAATACAAATCTACAAAACACACTGCTTTGTGTTTATTTTGTAAGGAAAAAAAATCTTAAAATAAATCTAACATTACTCGTTTGGGAACTGTCTCTTTTAGCTTAAAAGTCAAAAAGTTACTAAAAAAATCAAAAAGCCAATAACTTATACAAAAAAGTCAAAGATTCCATTTTCTCTCTACTTTTTTGAAATCTTTTCGTAAAAAGTTAAAAAGTTATCCCAAACATACTAGTTTTTTTTAGCTCATAATTTAGCTAAATAGCCAAAAAGTTACTAAATTAGCTTGTTCCCAAACGAAAGTCAAAATAGAATTCTCTTTTTCCTTTGTGTATCTTACGTTATCTATTTCTTATTTTAAAATTTTTTTGTTATAATTTTTTTTACAAAAAGTTACGTTAGCTCCTCAATAGATGGATGTTGTATGGTAGTTTTTTAATTTTTATTTTATTTTATTTTATATATCTACAATAAATAATGATACTTATTGAAATTTTTTACTCTTTATCTTTTGTATTCCAAGTACCATCGAGCTTGCCTATCTTATTCTTTATGTAATTGTATGTCAAATGTATTAAATTCATTATGCAGATAAATATGCAGCCTCCTCTAAATTTGTGTTGTAGCCATCGTTTGGCCATGTAAAATGTCAGAAATGAATTTCAAACTGTACCGTATAAAGAGGATTTACCAGTAGAAAATATTGATGATTGAAAAATCAAAATATGTTGGGCAATGCAAAAATTAGGAAAAACAAATAAGTGAAAAAAATTTGATGGAAACAATATTACCATCGAGCTGGAATAAAACAAAAAGAACAATTTTTCCAAGGTATGAAATCAAAGATGCCTCAAACTTGATGGATGCTGATGGAGGAGGAACGTGAAAGCCCATCCTCTATGGATTGAACTTGAGTAAGAGCGAATGACTTTAAATTTAACAGTACAAGAGCATATGTTTTATAAATAACAAGTGCTTTATAAACTTAGAAAAAAAGGTTTTCAATCTCACATTATAATATTAGTTTATACTATAGTTAACACATTTCTAACTTGATGGCCTATACAAGATATTTATAAAAAAATAAAAAAAGACTTTTCAGGCATGAGAGCATTGATAATTATGTTGGAAGAAATTGAAAATTATATGATTGGTTTACAAGCATTGGATGAAGTGGAGCAACTCATTGGTAATGAAAATAATAAAGTGGAACAACAACAGCAGCAACAAAAAAATAGTTGTGAAGAGAATAAAGTGGAGTAACAATACAAAAATGAGAATAATTAAATCAACACTTCTCATAAGGTAATATATCTTCTTCTTCCTTTTTTTTTTTTTTTTTTTTTTTTTTTTTTAAATTTTATTTGTATGTAAAAAATGATAACACTTTTTTTTTCTTCTTTTTATTTTTTATTTTTAAATAGGTATTTTTTGGGGCATTTGAACATGATGAGCGATATTTATTGAGTTTTAATTTATCAAATATAGATAGACTTGATTTATAACATTTAGTTTATTATTAGTTTTTTCAGAATATATATGTTTTAAACATTAGGTTCATTGAGAAACATCTTATTTATTGTCCATTTCATTAATTAGAAATCAAATTTATTATTTCAAGAAAAATATATAAGTTGAATGATTATAATATTTTGTGAATATTTTTTTTGAAGTATTATTGTCTTTACTTATGAAATTTGAAAAGATAATCGATATACATTATGATTATAATTTTATAATTTAAATTAAAATCTAATGCATTATTAAAAAAATTTATACGCTATTAAATCAGTCTCGTGCATAGTACAGACGTGCATAGTACAGATTTATCACTAGTATATATATATACATGTATATAAATATGAAAAATACTTGGGAGCACTAATTAGTGCTCCCACTAATTAGGTGGCAGTGGGTCCCGTCATTAATGATGTGATGTTTTGGTCTTGGAATTGTATTTTTATTTTTTTTTATTTTTTTAATGCATTAGTACTATTAGTGATGATATTTTTAACGGGATGAATCATTGTTGATATAAATATATGTATGGATGTTTGTGAGTTTCGCCCAAATGAGGCAATGAAGGTTGCTTTTTTTGAAGACAATAAAAATAAAAATAAAAATAGAAAAGGAGGTTGCTAGTAATGATGTTGGATGGCGCGTGGTCTTCCAAGGAATGAGGAAGAAAGGAGGGAAGAAGAAGAGGAGAAAAAGAGAAAACGATAGAAAAAAATGAAGAGAGGGATTTGAAATGGTATTGGGAAGAAAATTAGACAAAATAATATGGGTATTAGACTATCTTTAATGGTGTATCAAATTTATCATTAAATTTGAATTTGATAAAAAATAGTTTATTTTTCAGTTCTAACGGTTTCATCAAATCGGTATCAAAACTGTATTTTTTTTTTATCAAACTGAGGATCAATGTGCCTATCATTAAATTATTGTTCATAGCCATTTGATTTTCACCACCGGATATCCTTTTGGATGTCCGTCCGGATGTCCTCTCGGATGACAACCTTAAGGCAAAAATTTATGAAAAAATTACACTGACCGATCAACTTCCCGGATGACCACCTCAAGGCAAAAAAGTGTGAAAAATTTACATTGACCGGTCAACCTCCCGGTCGTCCTCCTAGTTGACCGGTATTCTAATGAAGTTTCAAAAACCTCCGTTGAAGCACTTGATATCAAATGAAACTTTTATTCAAATTTGATGAAAAATTTGATGCACCATAGGAGATGCTCTTATAGATTTTCTGTAGAAAATATTAACAAAATTGAACTTTGCAGTTTCTTTCATACTAGAAGGGGGGTTATGTGTATATTTCTAACGCATAGGAAAGTAATGTGTTTTTGAGTTAAAGTACAAGAGAGTAAAATGTAATTAACCCTATTAGATTATGTAAAAATTTTGAATGTAAATATATTAGGAAGATTTAGGGGTAGAAAATCCAGTATTCGCCCATACTTTATTGAAAAATTATTGAGTAATAATGTTATGATGATCATAATTATATATAAAACTATCGTTTCAAGTGTTACTACAATACATTAATGACACATAAGGTAGTAGACAAATTTTGATACACAAATGTGATCATCACATTACTATTCATTATTTAGTAGTTCTGAAATAACACTAATATATGTACATAATACTCCCAATCAATAAAATCTTACAAAATAAAATGAATAAGATTGATTTTGACCTCATCCCAAAACAGAGTAGTAAGATGAATTTCACCCATCTTGTTACTAGCACTCTTCATTATGATCACTCTCTTCTCCTACGCATAGTGCTTGATCAACAAAATAGATTGGAAAATCAGAAGCAGAACAAAATAGATTGGACCCACATTATCTCTCATCTAATTGAGATGTGTGACACCAGCCATCCTATGACCACCACTCTTCATGATCACACCCTCTATCTCTCAACTCCAAAAGGCGCATTGTGTTAGTTGGCACAAAGCAAAGCTGAGCCAATCAGATTTTCATTGCACAGTGGGTTCTACCAAACCTATATCACCTTTTTATCTGTTAAATGGTTGCTGGTATATTATATTAGTTTAAAAGTATATATTCGGATTCATGAGAAGAAATAAGATTTTGGCACGACAATTTATGAGAGACTTTAGACACTGACTTTTGACTAAATCGCCTAGGCTATACATGATGTACCATCACAAGATCAAGATATCAAAATTTCTCTTTTTCTTTTCTTTCCTTTTTTAATAGTGGATGAAGAATCAGATAAAGCAAGATTATACAAGAATTGCCACCCAACCCATGCATGTGATGTTAGAATCTGTAATACCTAATCAGCATTGGTAAGAGACAAGAAAACAAAGAAGAACAAACGCATAACAATTATAAATCACATGCATACTCAAGAATACACTATTTATGTGATTCATGAGCGACACGAGTGTAGAAATATTAAGAATACTTTACTCTAAAATACAATAATATGAGTCACATGCACACACACAACAAAATATTTACGTGATTCTTTCCCAAACTAGGAAGATGTCCACGATTACTATAATTTTATTATGATTATAAAAAGTTACATAATACAAAAATAATCGTTCCTTTCAACTACATATATATAAAATTGGGACAAGTCACAAGGACAAAAATATAAAAAAAATACCCTTATTCCAAATTTAAAAAGTTAGTATGTAGCAGTTATGAGTATCTATATGTGACAGTGAGGATGTCAAGCATTACTTGTTCCCTTGAATAAATGAGAGAGAGAGAGAGAGTGAGTGAGTGTCTGAGAGTGGTAGCACATTCACAGCCAAGCATATGAGAAAAGATTGTAAAGTCTATCTTGAATGAGATATCTAGGTTGTGGATTGCTGCTGCCTGGCTGCTCCTCATCTATTTACCCAACTGGATAATATCATATAACATATATGCACACACTCACAGTCCATGGCCTTATTTGGTAGGACTTATTTTCAATTTATTTCAGTTTTTAGTTTAATTTAAGCTATTTTGATGTATTTGGTTCAGCTTAACAATACAACTTACAGTTTTTTGTAACTCAAAAATCAACTTATGTTCATAGTTATAAGTTGTAAGCTGTTAAGTTATAAGCTATAATCGCTTTCCCACAGCTCTACCAAACATGGCCCATGATTCTTGTGGGGTAGAGTGTGTGGGACTCAAGACAGATTACTATCCAACTGCCCTCTTGTTGACCCCACCATCCCATATGTACTACTCCCAACCCATATGCCCTAACTCATCCCTATAGCCCTGTTTGTTTTCAGAGATAGAATGAAGGGAATTGATAATGAGGGGATTAAGTAAAATTGTGTTTGTTTTGATGATAGTTGTTAGTGTAGGGATTGTTAAATTATTTTTATATAAAATAAATATAAAATTATAAAACAAATAAAAAAATACAAAACATTAAATATTAATGTTTTAAAAAAAATTCACAACATGTAAAAAATTTTAAAAAAATAATAAAAAATTTCTAGAAAAAAATAAAAAAAATAAAATAATGATTTTTACTTAACAAAAAATATAAAAAATTAAATATTAATGTTCAAAAATAAATGCCCGACATGTAAAAAATAAATTAAAAAATAAATAAAAATAAAAAATTTTTAGTCCGCCGGACTATTTTTCTAATACCAAGTCCTGGAGGCCCATCCGAATTCCCTTGGGAAGACCCATCCTAATCCGAAACTCACTATCAATCCTCTTCTCACCTCTCAAAACAAATATAATATTAATGAGTCCCACGTCAGTACCAATTCCAATCCCTCCTCTTACTCTCAAAACAAACGGGCGATAGTCCCATCCCCATCTCTTCTCTGCCTTTCCCTATTTAGTACCCCCATCCCCATCTCTCCTCTGCCTTTCCCTATTTAATACCCATACAACTAGAGAAAAAAAGGGACTTATGTAGAAAGAGCAAAAGAATGTACTGAAGTTGATCTATTCTCTCTCTCTATTGCTGTGCAAAGTCACACACACACTCACACTTTGCAAGTTCTATAGCTCAAGGAGTAGAAGAAATTAATGGAAGTAGCCATGGAGGTTGAAGATGATGTGTTCTTTGCAGACTTGAACAAGCAAATCTCTCTTCTAATCATGGACGACGACGACGGTGATGACCCGGTTGCCCATTGTCCTTCAGTTTCTCTCCAGGTTCTTCACCACCCTCCCTCCTATTTCTCAGTTTACTTGGAAAGGTAGTGTCTATGTGTGTTCTTGTTTGTTCAGCTCCTACTAATCTTCCCTCTCTATCAACACACATGAAGTTTGTTTCTTTTGTTTTTTTGGGTATGTTGGAGTTACGGAAACAGTAGAGCATTGATATGTAATATATATATAGTTTGTGTACACATTGATGTGATTATATTGAGATTTATCATTTACAAAACGCGTGTTCATTAAAATATATAAAATTTAATTACATAAACGCTATCACTGAATCATTCTTGTTTAGAATTTTGTATAGGATTTTTGTATTTTCTCTCCAATAAACAATGGCTTTAAGACTATGTACATATGTTCTTTTCGGATTCTACTTCAATAAGATCTCGTGCACTATATATTAAACTTTTTTTTCCCAACTATTTTAGGGCTTCTCTAGAGCAGTCTATCCTGCTGCACAAGCACAAGCACAACCACCACCACCACCATTTTCCTACCAGCAAACTTGCAGAAGAGAAAGCAAAGGAACTGGTGTGTTCATCCCACAGTCGTCGCATCCGAGAAGAAAGAACAGGCAAGGGAAAAACAGCTCATCCAACAACACAAAGTTCCAAAGGCACTCTGATAACTCAAGCGGTCCTCCTCATGCATCTTTCATGAACATCCCATCTCAAAATTCGATTAACCCTAAGAGATGTTGAGTATAGATGATGAAGAAGAAGTGTATAATTTAGTCAATAATGGATGGTTTCCACTAGTGTTTCGGAAGACTTTGTATGTTGACCATGACCATGGAAAGGCCATGGGAGGTTCTTGTAATGAAATGTATGGTTGCTATATAGGATAAGCTTATCTTGTTCATTTAATGCTATTGATTATATGATTGTTTATTTTTTGAGAAAATCTTCTATTATATTATATTGTTATTGTAAATATAATGTATTTATTCAGTTCAAAAAATATATGTTTTTTTTTTTATAGGATTTGTTGGTCTAGATGAACCAAACTTTTTAAGGATTCCATATCTATTATTTACTTCCGAGTGATGGGCGATAAAGGGCAAAATAGGTCATTCCCTTTGCGTGAAATTTGGTGGATTTTTATGATTGGTATGAGGAGAAATAGAAGACTCAGAAAAACTGCATCACACAAACAATAACTCAAATTTGGATATCATACCTAATATGGGAGCAACTAGTTCAGTAGAACATCCGCTTCTTCTGTGAAATTTGGCAAAAATTGAGCGGCCTCAATATTTTGCAGAAATTAAAAAGAATGCTTAATCCCAAATATGGAGCCATGTTCAATGCTAAACACAAATATTGCAATGATGTTATTATATCAGGCATAATTGGATGATTACAATTTACATCACTTTTGACATTTCTAATGTTGATTAAATGGGGCACTTGATAATTTTTCTCATCTTTGACTTAAAAATCCCCCTAGTTTGAGGACAAAATTAATATTCAAAGTTTTATTATTAGGAATAAATAGAAACAAAAATTCTCAAAGTGACAACTTTGAGTAATTTACAAGTTGCAAGCCAGCCTAAAAGAAAAGATTAAAGATGGAAGATATGATAGTTAGGATGCTCTGTTGATTTTTGGATTCTACAAAATCTGTTGGCAAGTTGAGTGATTAATGGTCAATTGACAATACTTTCAACTGTGAATTTACTGGTCATAATGTAATTAGTGAACTACTTTTTACCAACAATTTGTGCCTGCAAAGGATCCAATGTGGCATAAAGTTAATCAAGCCTTATCCAAGTGGATAGTTCAACCTATACTCAATTTGATTATAAACCCATTTCTGTACACAACTCATTTTAACCTAACTGAATATGCCTTTTGACTCGTTTGTCACTTGTAAGCTATCTACGGTGGGTAGTCAAGGCATCACCAAACTATAAATAACTAATGATCAATTCTCTTGAAATTTTTTCATGAATATTCCAGTCAAATGTGGATTTGATGATAAGGGATCTAACTTTTATTTGTCTAGTAAGTTAATCAAGAATTAGTATCTTGAATTCAATAATAATATAAGAATTATTATAAAACGAATGTCAAGATTTAAATCAAGTTGAGGATCCTCTCCTTGCAGTTCCTGTGCTTGCACCCGTCCTTGCAGGCCTTCGGGTCTACTTTTAAGCCCAATTTTGATAATCTGAACCGTTCATATTTTATGATTTATACAGTATATCATACCTGTAAAAAATCAAGTTGATCGGATATCAGAAAGTATGTGTTCGAAAAATTGAACTAAAAACTATTTTTTAAAGAATTTAATAAACAGTTTTCCGAACATATACTTTCTGATATCCGATCAACTTGATTTTTTACAGGTATGATATACTGAATAAATCATAAAATATGAACGGTTCGGATTATTAAAATTGAGTTTAAAAGTAAACCCAAAAGCCTGCAAGGACGAACGCAAGTACGAAGCTGCAAAGATAACCTTGGCTCATATAAAATATATACACTTAAGCTTCCAAATTTAAAAAATAAATATTTTGATATCCACACAATCCCACTCTTCTTCCTTTCAGTCTCTCACGAAAAAAGAGGGCCACTATATACAGAAAAAGAATATAAGAGAATGAAAGGAAACAAAAGATAATGGAATATTTGGTTAGATTTGAAATATAGTATATGTTTACTTGGAGGTGTACCATGATTCAAATACTCAAAGAGTCCATTATTTAAAGAAAAGAAAGACATAAACAGGACCAGCATGTGGGTTCCCACTTTTTTTGTTCTAATCAATAATCACAACCCAACCCCCCACTTGGAAGAGATTGCTTTCAAAAAGTGAGGGCCAATGGGAACATGAAGATCCAAGTCTGATTAACAATAAAAGAATTTACTGTTTGGTATTATTTTAAAATAATTACGGATTCATAAAAAAAGTTTATGATTTAATTATTAAAGTATAAAAATTTATCATAAATCTGTAATTATTTTTTAAAATTAACATTGATTTATTATTTCCCTTTAATAATTAAAAAAAAATGATGCAGCAATTGAAATTATATATCTGTAAATAATTTCTCAAAGTCAATCCATATGAAAATTAATTTTCCAAATTAGTCGATCAAGTAAACCGGATACCAAATCATAAAAAAAATAAAAATAAAAGAGAGTTCAAGGTTGGGTCTAAGCATATACTCATTTACTTTGGGCTTGCAAGACAAACCAAGGCCCAACAGATCAAGTATGCAATGGACTTCGTCATCGGGTTGAGCCCAGTACGACGCCCTATTTAAACGTTCGTTGTTTCAGAGACCTTGACGAAGCTCTCATCAATGGCGGACCCAAACCTAACCGATGATCGATTGATTAAGGCCGCTTTGACTGGATGAAGAATCGGAGGGACTTCCATTGCAATTATGTCATCGCAGGCTGGCCAGGTATCGTCTTGTTGTTAGATTCTGTGAAAATGCTTAGTTTTTATCTGATCTCGATATGTTATGTATATATTGGATGATATACTGAATTAGTTTAAAATTCTGTGAAATTCTCACGCAATACGATAAGAATAGCTTGCAGTGTGTCTAGTTATTTTAATCTTACACTAACCTCATATTTTTCTGTTCTGGAAGCTTTTGTTTGTTTTGAATTTAGAAAAAAAATTCAGATTTCCGAATAGTCATATAGAGCTATGTTTGTTTGACCTCAAGTTATGTTAAATTTTGCGAGGATACTAATTGAAAGTAGTCCAAATCATTTGTTTTTTCTCACATTCAAATGTGTTCAAAGTTACTAGGATTTTGATTTATTGGTAGCAAGCAGTTGCATTCTATGTGATATGGATTCATGGAGCCGAAACAGCAGATAACAAATTTATTGTTACTAGCATTATAAACATCAGAAGAATGGATATTCAAAAGCTTCCTTTATACTCGTCCTGAAAAAAGAAAAAGAAAAAAGCTCCATTTATCTTGATCACAGTTCATGAATTTTTTGTTTGTTTCCCCGAGATTTCAAGAATAGAACCATATTTGTCATTTAAAAAATTTGCATCAATACAAAACATTAAGGGATATATGCATATTAGTATTACTTGATAGTATTTCAAGCTCTTTACAAACTTTGCTGTCATTGGTAGATACAATGCACATATCTGGAAAATTCTCTATTTCCCTCTATAATTGAGCCAGAAAATAGAGGAAATGAAGCTGTACTTATGATCATATCACAGATCCATCTTTGATTGTTGAATTTTTTAGTATGATGGTAATGCCTGAACGAATATAAAACCCTTCTGAGGATCTATCAGCCTCTTGAATGACCTGCAAATCCATACAAAGAAAATGATGTTTTATAAGTGCTTGAAATCCTGAAATTTGCTTTCTTCTTCTCGATCTTATTAACAACCAACAAAAAAAATATAAGAGTCTTTAACCACCATTTTAGCCTTCTCTTTTTCTTTGGTGCAATGCATATAGCTAATGCATCAAAGTGATTCAGTTTTCATGACCTTGTTGGAGACTTACTTGTTTGGTTGTGTTCTTGTTTTTCATATATATATATATATATATATTTTTTTTTTCTCCTGTGTTTTCAAAGACAACTACAATGAAAAGTTTGAAAATATCGATTTCATTTTTGTGTGAAAACAGTTTTGAAAATTTGATTTTCCCCCCTAAAGAGAGTGTTGTTTTCAAACAACTTTCTATTTTCATTTTCTAGAAACCAAATTAATTCAAGTATTTAGAGGTGGTGAAGTCTTGGAATTGGGCAACTATTAGTGTTTTTCCGTTAGTTTTTTCTATATCCCCACCATCTTCTACACCAAATTATTTAGAAAAACATACCTCTGAGTTTGCAATAACAACATTCTTTCCGATTCTAGCATTCTTGTCAATGATGCAGTTTCTGCACAAGATTGTAAACATAGGGCCATAAGACAGAGAACAGAGTTATAGAAAATGATTCGTTTTGGGGAAGCAAGAATAGATATGGAGAAGTGTTTTGAGCTGTTTTGTACTTGATTTTTGTATTTTCTCCTATTCCAATAGGAACTCTTCCCTCTGCTACCAGTGCTGCAACTTCATTATCAGTTTCATAGTAGTCAGCACCAAGCATCACTGTGTCCTGCATTTGCATGGCTAACTAGTGTTAGGCTATATATAATATAACTCATTTTGAATGTTGATATTTACATTAAAATAAACTGTCATAATCTTAATGCAATGTAATGGAATGTAATTATGCAATTATTTAGTGAAGAATATAGTTATATATGAATCATAAACAAACCTTTAAGTGGACATTGGAGTTTATCCGGGATCTGATGCCAACAACACTGTGCTCTATAAAGCAATTATTTAAGAAACTGCCATGGGATACAATTGAATCAACAATCTGCAAAAAAAAGTATTGTAAGAAAGCAATGTTATTTTTAGGCAAATAAATTGATCTAGAAAAATGGCCAGAACTAAAAGCATAACACTAAATAATGATCCCTTTCCAAGTCCAAGTGTAATAGCCAACAAAAAATAAATAAATAAAATGAAGCAAGAAGTCTATTTTAAATCTTGCCCCACATCTTGCTCAATAGGAAGCTTCCACATAATCTAAAATCATATGAGATTCACTGACCTTGCTGCTATCAATCTTTGATGGTGGTAAGTTTCTTCTTGATGTATACATTGGCTTGTTTGCATCATAGAAACTAAATCTTGTGGGCTGAAACAAAAATGCAAAAGTAAATGTTAAAACCTAACTGTTTCACTTCAAAGCATTTTTGTTTTTGTTTCCAGATAGCATGTTTGAATGAAGTTACCAAACAAGCTACACATGACCTGCTTTCCCTGCTACCAAACACTAGTGGAATTTAAAATAAAATAAAAAAGAAAAAAAAAAGTGTTTTAATACTTACATGTGCAGTAAGGGCAAGGTTTGCTTCGAAAAAGGATTTTATTGTGCCGATATCTTCCCAGTAATCGTTAAATAAATAAGCCTGCAACATTTTGCCAAACATAGTTTAGATTGTTGTCCAATATGCGTATATATATGTATGAGTCTTTGTATCTATTGGAAAATTAAATTTAAATGTCATAATTATAGAGGAGCAAAATTTTGAGGGGTTAAAAAGTTGTGACACGTTTAAATAAGGAAAGCATTCGGAAAATATTTGATACTGACCTTTATGAAGAACTCTTTGGCAGAGGCAGGAATTATCTCTGATCCAAAGTCATTTGCAGTCGGGAAGCGCCATCTGACTTGACAAGAATGCAGAATCTTTAGTACTTCTTCAAGTTTGACACATTGTGAATTTTTTTTTTTTTTTTTGTGCTATATGATATGTCTTGTAGTTTATTTCTTTAGATAGCATAACCAACTGTTGTAAAATGGCAATGTAGTATGATTTCATTTTCTCTCTTCATTCTCTGTTTTATTCTTACCATATAATTGATTCCCATAGATTTCTGATCATTGATATCCTTTATAATTCTTCTCAACATGGAGTGAAATTTGTTGAGACTTGGGAGCATATTTTCTCATCTTATATTCTTATCATACATTGACTGAAAAGTGTATGTGCTTTGTGTGTCAGCTTAATTCTTAGAACTTCTATACTATGGAGTATATACACAAGATTTCAAAGTAGCAACTGAATGAACCATCTTTTTATTGATTACTTTTAAATAGATGGCAACTAAGACATTTCTTTTTGATTCTGCAAAATCATTTTATCCTGTTTGTTTCTTCCCTTTAGTAGGATTGTAAATGAGCCGAGTAATAGATTGTTCAATCTTAGTTTGAAAACTTGACGAACTTGAAAAATGTGTTTAAGCTTGATTTTTTTATCTTTCAAGCCAATCTAAAAAGATTTTTAATTTAATCGACCCAAGCTTGAGTAGTGTTGTCTTTTATGTTTCATATAAGTTTGTTCATCCAAGTTCGAGCCAAGACAAAAAAATTAACACTTCTCCAAATGTGTTCAAACTTGGTTTGTTTACATAACAAGTCAATCTCAAATAAGTTTTTAAAAGAGCCGAACACAAGTCGGCCTATTTGGTGCAACTTTTTTGTAAGCAAAAAGTTGACAATCACAAAGTAGAAGTTAAAAACATTTCTCCACCCACTTCCTGATAATCAATAAATTAAAATAATTTTTGCCTCATAAGTTGTACTAAATATTCTGGAACAAATTCTCAAAATAAAAAATCTATAAGCAGTCTCAATAATCTGTACCAAACGGATAATTCTTTTATATCCCTAATCTTAAGGGGGTGAAACTTAAGCTGAAAAGTACCTTAAAAGATTGAGAAGTATCTCCTTCTTGAAGACATAGACTCCCATGGAAGCAATATATGGTTTCTTTTCAGCCTCTTCTCTTGGTAGTCCTATAACTGTTGTATCTACTGCCTAGAAAAGAATAGAACTTTGTGAGAAAAATAAGTCCAAGAGTCCATAGATACTATAGAACTTTGTGAGAGAAGTAAGTCCAAGAGTCCATAGATACTATAGAACTTTGTGAGAGTATTACAAAATTTGAGTAATTAATTACCATTGCCTTCAAATCAGCTCCTTTGGGCTTTTCATTGAATGAAAGGATCCTTCCTTTACCATCTATCTTCATCAAACCAAAATCTGAAGCGCGGCTATCATGGAAATACAGAAAAACACTCAAAAAAAAAAAAAAAAAAAAAAAAAAAAACAATTGTGGGGAAATTTTTTTTAAAAAAAAAAAAAAAAAAAAAAAAAAAAAAAAAAAAAAAAAATTGTAATTAAAACCATTTACTTCAACTGTGTAGGTATATATTGTGCTAAAAAAGCAGTGTGCTTTTTTGCAAAATTTAGCATGAGAAATAACATCTATCTTATGATGTTCGTGTGACTAATTGACCATTTCTTTTTATAAAAATTACATCTGTACTATTATAATTGGCGTTTAATTTATCGGTGATTACATCTATGTCATGTGAAAATAAATTGAGAGTTAATTTGACACAAATAAATAAAGATAAATTTAATTTTGATTTAAATTAAGGAATTGAAGCATTATTAAAAAAATGAGATTGGAAAAAGGTGGTTGATAGGTAAATGAATACAGAAATAGTATAAAAAAATATTATATTGTTGAAGCACCTATACTATATTAGCACATTAAATACTACATATTGCTTGAGCAATTCTGTATGAAGTGCATTTTTATTGTGCTAAAATAGCACAAAATACTATACCATTAGAGATGTTCTTATTAAGTTTAATTAATATAATTTCCAAGTTGAAAGCACTTAAGAAGCCAAAGTGATGAGAAAAATGACCAACCTGTCATCCATTGGCAAACAGGATAAAGTGATATCTGCACCACTTTGACGATGATTCTAAATCAAATTTAAAAATCTTAGTCTCAGAAATAAGGTTTGAATGCATGAACAATATCAACAGATAAAGCTCTGTAAAAGAAAAAATATAAATTCAATAATGGCATCTTACGTGAACGAAGTCCATATAGTCCATTCTATACAAGTGATCTCCTGATAGAATGACCACATCTTCAATATCTTTGCTTCTTGCATCCTACAAGATGGAAAACATATTCCAGTCATCATCTATGACAATGTCATAGTTTTGTAAAAAGTCTCGACAATAATTTTGTTGTATAGTAATTGCTCATTCTTGTATATGTCACATAATCAATATATAAAATTACATATTTTATACGTGCGCTCATGTATGGTGTCCAAAAAATTTAAAAAAATTGTTTTGACATGTCTGTCATATCTGTGTCATGTCACGTATTAGTGCTTCTCAAAGATGAGCACTTTCTAAGTGATTTTAGATACCTCAAAAAGCCAATGAAACTGCCTCACAGCATCTGCTGTACCTTGGAACCACCTTTTACCTGTCTCACCTTGAGTTTGAGTAGCTGCTAGAGCCTACACAGATCATAACAAGATGCAATTAATCGAACACATTTTTTACTCACAAAAGATCCTAAAGCAACCAAGTTCTACATTAAATACATATGAAAAAAATTGAAAAATACATGAAGATGATGAACTCAAAGTAAAATATACCTCAACAAAGCCATCTCCAAAGGTGACACCACCACCAAGGTTATATGCACGAACGAGATGTCTGTTGAGCGATGTAGAGTTGAACTGAGTGAGAATGTAAACTTTGTTGATCCCACTGTTAATGCAGTTGCTCATTGGCACATCAATCAGCCTGTATGCTCCTCCAATCGGGACCTAAGATAGAGGATAGTAGAGATAATGACTAGATCTGATGTAGAACACATGGCAAAAGAGCTTTGGAACAATTAAATTTTGATTGGATTATCACCGAATTCCATTGTTTAGGTTTAGGAATTCAAATTAGCAATTTTGTAGTTTTTTGGAAAGTTTTGTTTTATAAATAACTTTGCCTAGGAATGTTCGTTTTCAGTGCCACTCATTTTGGCAGGTTTCTTAAATTTTCTAAAATTTGAATATTTTCCTGTTGAGATGAGGATGTTAAAGTGGATGTGTGGTAAGATTAGAAAAGACTGAGTTAGGAATGAGTATATTCGTGAATGGGTAGGAATGGTGCCGATAGAAGATAAGTTGAGAGAGAATAAATTGAGATGGTTTGGTCATATACAACGGAGACCAACAGCGGCAATAGTGAAGAGATGTGATATAGTGACGGTAGATGAAACTGTTAGGGAAAGGGGCAAACCTAGATTAACATGGGCTAGTATAGTAAATAGAGATATGAATCTCCTTAATTTGACTAACCAAATGGCCGTTGAGAGAGTCAAATGGAGAAGAAAGATTTATATAGCCGATCCCATTTGATGAGACTTAAGACTTTTTGGTTTGGTTTTACTATTTTCATGTCTATCAAGGAGTTAGCATAGTTAGCTATTTCTTATTCAAATTAGGTCTTTCCTTGTCGCAAATAAGAATGCAAGTCTTGGCAAAACTAATTTTATTAATAATATCGAGAGTTTCTCTTTGAGAATTGTCTCTACTATGGGAAATTCCAAGTCTTGGATATTGACATTTAATGTGTCATATTTTCTCTATTTTGTTCTGTCAAGTGGTATCAACACATAGAATTAATCAGCAAAAACTTGTGAATGCAGTTGGCTCTAATGGCAGGAAAGGTTGCTTGGAGGATTGAAAGAAGACTTACAGCAGGTTTGGCACGACGTTTGGTGAGAGGAAAAAGGCGAGTACCGGCTCCACCTCCCAGTATGACTGCCACAACTGTTCTCGGGTCCCTTTTCTCCATCTCTAGGTTCCTCAACTGCACAAAAACACATTTATATTGGCAGTTACGTAGGTGTGTACAACTGCAAAACAGAAATATTATGTATCCCAAAAAAATGCTCAGAATTTGAAATGTGTGGATCAAATTTATCCACCAAATTTAAATCTATACTATTCAAATTCTAAGTATTTTTTCTAAGTTGATGAACAACAGTACTTGACTCTGAAACTAATCAGATCATATATAATTATGTATATAGTTTATTATATGAAACACGTGACTTACTTGATGAAGCTATGTCATGCAATTTTTCATATCCAAATTACCCCTATATGACTGTCCAAGTTTTTTATTTCTTCAAAATTTTTTTTTTCTTCCTTCCATCTACATTTAATTTTTTTTATTAGAGGACGATTACAACTGTCTTTTATTTCTTCACACGTATCTTTTGTGTGCATAGCCTTGTAGTGTGTGTGTATATATATATGTAAAGAGAGAGAGAGAGAGCTCACTTTGGCTTCACCTGCAACATTAACAGTGAGAGACATGGACACATGAGGCCTAACATTGCTCTTCTTGATCATCCCCTGATGAAGAAGTGTCATCTTCATCTTCTTTCCCATCAACTCTCCATTACAGAACTTCACGAGCCTCCAGTTCTTCCCTGCCAACCCTCCACTCCCATTCAACTGCCCAGCAGCTGACAACGTAATCCGGCCATCTGCCGATACTGCCATTTTCTCTGAAACCCGAGGGCAAAATTGGAATTTCAGGTGTATGAAAATGCCTGCTTGTAGAAAAATTCAATGAACCATATATATGGAAAGGAGGAAGACAGGAGAGTTTTAAGAGCAATGCAAGTCTTTGCTTTCATGGAATGCATGCTACTGGAGGATTGAGCCACGTTATCCAAAATTATTTGCATCCACCAATTTTTCTTGTGTTGTCTGATCCTTTCAAAAACAGTCCAATTACAGAAATGCCCTCATACTGTTCTTGTAATTTTGAATCAAGGAATATTCTATAGGTTGCTGCCAGTTGATTTTTTATCGAATGTAAAAAAATGACCAAACTGATTTTTGGTTCGATGGCTCCAAAATTTTAACAACATATCAGAACGGGGTCCTGAATTGTCTCGCGGGCCAACTCTTCATGCCGGGTCTATTTCTTCCTCTTCTCACATCACTTCTTTACTTGATAGCATGAATTTTTATGTTATATTAAATTTTATTCTCCAATTTTGGTAAGCGGTTTTTTTTTGTTTTTTGTTTTTTTAAACAATTGATGGGAGAGGAAGAGAAGTTGTCGGTGAGATTCAAACCTAAACATCACCCTTGTAACCGAGCCTCTCATCTATTAGGCCAAATCAATTCATCAGTTCAATTTGACTGAGCTAACTTGAAATTCTGCCTATCACCAGATAGGTCAGCCCAAGCCCATCTTTGTTGGTTGGTTTCATATTTGTTATGTATGAAGAAGAAAAAAAACCTTTGTTCTTGGCTACAATTGAAAGTAGATAAAGCAAATCATAGGTTTCTAAAGAGCTCAAACTTGTATCTCAAATATTTTGCATGATGTTTCTTGACTAGCTAAATTAGGTGCTGCACAATCCTAACTTTTCCCCACACAATGGATCTTATTATTATTATTATTTATTTTTAATTTTGGAGTCAATTACTCCACCACCAAAGATGTTGAAGCTTTTTGAACCATTGTAACATTAATATACTAGTCAAGATGGGTGAAATCATAAAAAAAGTAGGCATTGTTTGCATTCAATTTCTTGCACCTTTTTGCCAACCATCAAATATGTTGAAGCTTTTTGAACCCATTCTAACCACCAACAATAAATAAAAAAGCAGCTATATTTGCATTCAGGTTTTTTTCACTTCTAACTTTTTTTGTGCCATTTTGAAAAGGGAAATGATTTGCGAAGATAAAGACAAGTATTATATGACCAATTTTTCATTGTTTTAATCACCACTTCCGTGATATTTTGCTCTTTGAAAAAAAAATAAAATAAAAATGCCCCACTTATGTGGATAATAATGATTGATTTCTTATTTTTAAATAATTATTAAATAAATAATCAATCCTAAATAATATCATGTACCAAATTATATAAAATAATAAAATTATTGATAATGTATAACTCTCCTAATAAATTAAAGAAGGAATTGGGTTTGATGGTTGTCCTAACAAGTTTTATTTTGATGATTTAATCAGTTATTTTTTAAGTTTATACAGATAGATCATACATGAAAAAATTTTGATTTGATTATAGCAACTTTATGATTTTATCGTATTTGTCTTTAAAAAATAAATAATAAAAAATAATTTAAAAACTAGACCATCCTTTTTCATCTTTTAAGAAACATAATAAAATCATATATCTACAATTATCATATCAATTTGATTTTTTTTTTATATGTAATATACACAAAAAATTTAATAGAAAAAAAAAAGGAAAATTTGGCTATAAACCCCCTTTACCTTCCTTTCATTGTTAAAAGGACTAAGAAAAAAATTATACTTTCTAAATCCCCTCATAATTATAAAGTCTTGCATAAAGGACAAAATTTATTATTTAAATATTTTATTAGACTATTATATCCTCAACTAAAATTTTTTACCTTTTCCACCCACTCTCTCCCCACCTTCTCTGTCTCTCTCCCCCCTCTTTCTCTTCTGACTTTGTTCTCCGTCGACGTGCTCCTCCTTTCAGATCTGAAGTTCTGTTTCTCGACAATATTGGTAACTTCTTCTTCTCCGGCAATGATAGCAACGTCATCGTCATCACTCTCCTAGCCAAGTCCGGTCAGTTATCAGGCGAAACTCCGGCGATTAACAATGCCGAAACCGATCTCTACGATGAACTCATCAAGAACATTAGGAACGAAATCAACTACGGGTCGGAAAATTGTCCTCTGGTGCCGAAATCGAAGGAGATCGTCTACGAGGAGAAACATATCGTCTCTAAATTGAGGCATGTTTGGTGGAGTTGTTTGGTTATACATATTTTTTTAAACACAGATTTGAGTTTTGAATATATGTATGTACGTATATATATATATATATATATATATTTGTGTGTATGAGTTTTGTTGAACACATGTATTCTTTTAATTGAGATTTGTGATTGTTGATCGAGTTTTAGAAGTTTTTCTTCTCAATTAGATATGTTGATTTGTTGATTAATTTATTTTGTTTTTGTTTGTTTGTTTGTTTGTTTTTTTTTTGATTTATTTTTGTTGTTTTTGATCTAATTTCATTTGACAGAACCAGAGTAAAATTTGCTTTGTTTTTTGTTTCAGATAATGAGATTAAAATTTTACTCTTGTTCTATTGCTCTGTTTTTTGTTTGAGAGAATTAGAGTAAAATTTTACTCTGGTGTTAGAATGACAGTAAAATTTTATTGTCAAGAGGTGGTCATTGCCAAACACTTCAGCCGCCACAAACACTGCCTTCGCTTTTTTGCTTTTGTGTAGAGTAACATTTTACTTTTAGTTTCAGAGTCTCACAGTTTACTCGTTTTTCAGAATAAAATTTTACTTTTATACAGAGATTTTACTTTTAGTTTCAGAGTCTCACAGTTTGCTCGTTTTTCAGAGTAAAATTTTACTTTTATATAGAGTAAAATTTTACTTTTGTGTAGAGTCTAACATTTTACTAGTTTTTTAGAGTAAAATTTTACTTTTATACAGAATAAAATTTTACTTTTAGTTTCAGAGCGTAAAATTTTACTTTCATACAGAGTGAAAATGACTTAATAGGAGAGCTGATAGATATAAGGGTAATATAGTAAAAGAAACAAGTTTTAAAATATTAGGGGGCTTTGAAAGTACTTATATAATTCTTATCATTTTGAAAGATAAATTAGATAGTGAGAGGGCTATCACCAAATCCTCCTCAAAAGAAGAAGAAGAAGAAGAAGAAGAAGATCGTTTGCCAAAAAAAAATTTGTAAAGAAAATATTGCTTTCTTATTGATTCTTTCTCGGAGAGAGAGAAGATATTAGAGCATCGCATGATGTTGAGATGTGGAGGTGTCAGCTAATTGCATGATGTTGAGATATGGGGGTTAGATGCTCCTGAATGCAGAGCTCATCCTCTCTCATGTAAGGAAGTGTTTGGAAAGACTGTTAAAATCTTTAGGTCATGTTTGTTTGGGCGGACTGGATTAGCATTCCCATGACTAATAGTCCTAGGACTACGAATCCGTTGGATTATGTATCATATCTTAACTAATAGTCAAGTTTAAAATAATTAGTCCGTACTTTAATTGTTTAACCAAATATCGGATTAATAATTTTATTGGACTATTAGTTCAATCCCAAACTCATGTCCACCCAAACAAACATGGCCTTAGTGGATAATTAAGGAGGCTGTGACAGGTTCAATGGCCATGTTTAATTTTAGGATGGATTTGAGAAAAAGCCTGAATGTATTTTCTTGGCTTCAATTCTGTTTGGAGGGGGTTGTAAAAGCATCATACCGAAGTGTTAGACTTTTTATTGGAAAGAGGTGGTAAGCGAAGTAGTCTCAAGTTCTCAAAATGCTATCACAGGAGGTACGCAATTTTTATTTGAACAAGGAGGCAAATCTAGGCTATTGTTTTGGTGAACGATGAATACGCCAATTCCAGGTTGCTTAGTAAGAAATTGTGATCTACTACGCATGCAACAGATACTCCATCCATACTACATAGGTGATAATAAAAGTCAAAAGTATATATACATAGATGACAATCTAACTTTGAATAAAATTACCTCTAAAAGAGTTTCCCTTCTCTCCGCAGCAGCAACAAGGGTTTCAATATTTAAAGCAGAGCCAAACCCGATGCAAATAAATATTACCAAAACATGCTCACAAAACTAGCACAAGTATACTAAAGACATAAGAGTTTGGCGGAAACAAATCCCAACGCACAAACGTGCACACATACGAATGACAGAGAATATAAAAATCCATGCATATTAAGTAGAAACAAAAAATTACTTGCTGAAGTAATTGCTCGAGATGGAGGAGCAAAACTAGTAGAGTAGGACAACACAGATAAAAAAAAAAAATCAGAAACAAAATTTTGAACCCACAAAAAGGATACCATAAAAAACAGAAATTACACTGACTACACTTGCAACTGAAAAGGAATCAAAGTGCATGCCTTCTGAGTGCCAGCTGCATCACTTAGACAAATTTACAGAGGCCAATACAAAGCTCTCATTTTAGCTCATTTAAAAGAAGATATGACTGCAAAGCTCTCGTTTCAGCTCATTTAAAAGAAGATATGATCGGTACATCATGTTCTTATCATTAAATTAAATTAAAAAAAAAAAAAAATGTAGTCCCTTTTCCGAACTTATCCAGTACTAGCTTGCATATCAAACCCACCCACTTTAATTATAAGGAAAATGATTAATTAGCCATGTAAGAGTAACTCAATCTTACAGGTCTTGACAATGATGCACTTTTACGACAAAATTCAAACCTTGATCATAATATTTGATATCCTTCCAAATATTCATAGAAATACACATACAAATGACAAAATTGAAGAAGATGACCTCGGAAGGTTTAGAACATAATCAGATGAACATAATCATAAGGTTTAGAAAACCTTACAATAAGAAGGTCATAAAAATTGGTTACCTCCATGGCCATCATAAACACCAAAGAAAGATGTGGATGTGACCAAATTCAGATGAGCTGCATGCTTTATAACACAACAATTCTCATATGAGTACATCACATAATCAACTAAAAAGACAACTCCAACAATTCTCTAGAAACAATTTAAGATTGTTGTAGAAAGCCCTCATGACTAATAAGATGACAAAAAATTTTAAGAGATAAGATGGCATCATTCAAACAAGAGTACATGTAACACAACACAAAAATAAGATTAAAAACCAGAGAAAATCTTATCAATTTAGAGAATAAATCTTGTCAACATGTCAATCACCACATATGCTAGCCCTTCCACGAGGATCAAAGATGCAGGGGATACCTGGAGTATTAGTGGGAAGAGCAACACCCCTACATATTTAGGGAATTTCAAACTGATCTCATTGATTGCCCAAAATATAAAATAAAAAGAGTAAAAATGTAAAGTACTAGAAAATAGACATATAAAAATAAATAAACAACTATTACTTCTAATGTACATTATCTAACTCTATATCATTTATTCACTAGTACCCTTTTTCTTGCAATGTAGAATGCCAACACTATGTTCAAAGAAAAAAGACAGGTAGAAATATGTCTAATTTATTTCCCTTAAAACTAATAAAATGATCAGTGTATAGCAGCATTACAATTCAACCATTCATAACATATCCAACAACACCACAATACACAAATGAAGTCTTAATATGCACTGTTCTTCATCTGACTCAAAATCATTGTTCATTTTTTTGCAAAATTGTTATTTTTGTAGGTTCATAGTCAAGAATAGAAGCGTTACTCCCCAACAGAAAGAATAAAAACGAAACAAATAAAACTGTAACAATAAAGCAGTATGAACCACTAATTACTGATGGAAGTCGGGTACCAAATAAGGACTGTAACAATGTGTTGAACCCTAAAACAAAGAGTAAGGTCTGTATCACCTTAGCCTTCTCAACCTGTGAACAAAAAAAAGAAAAGACTGGTGAATGGAGCCGACGGCAAATGAACTGGGGGAAAAGCAGACAGAGGTCATGAAAATAGGAGTGTGAATGTGCTCACATTGCCACCACCCATTTGATTGACAAACATAGTTGGAATCAAGATCGTAAGTACCTAGAGTCATGATATAATGTTGGAACCCCAAAACCAGAGCTTGAACTGCATTACTCAAAACAAAACCAAAAAAGAAAAAAATTAGTTTCTTCTCTTCATTCAAATATTACAAGTTCTTTGAATAATAATAAAAAAAAATCAATAAATAAATTAGAAGTTCAATCGTCATTTCCAAGAGACATTAGTGAAAATACTTGTGCTTAAATCAGATGGCTGAAAACAGTATTCAGAAGGCCTCAAACAAATTCTTCAAAAAGTTTGAATTCATTATCTTAATTAATTTTTAATGATCAAAATAACGAAAGAAATGGAAAAATTAAAAAATTAACATATTCTCTTCATTCAAATTGTTGAATTAAAATCATCATTTGCATCTTGATTTTTTTTTTTGTTGATAAATATCATTTGCATCTTGATTTAAAAATAGAAACATTTCCAATAGACATTATTGAAAATAAAAAATAAAAAATAAAAAAAAAATAGTGTACATCATTTCTGTATCTGTACATTGCTATATACCTTGGGAAATATATATATATATATATAGAAAAGTTCCGCATTAAAAATATGTGGATTAAATTCATCTTGGAGTAATCCACATCACGCCAAGTTTAAATTTACATCATAGATTATTATGGACACTTTTTTGGCTAAGTAAGCATTTCTGGTATCCAAAAATTGTAAACAATATTCCGAAGGCCCCATACAAATTCTTGAAAAAAGTTTGGTTTGGATTCATTATCTTAATAAATTTTTAAAGATCAAAACAACACAAAAAGGAAAAATAAGGTAATATATGAATATATAGGTGATAAATTCAATTCAAAGATTGCAATGATATAAGAAGCAAAAGAATTATTGGATGCCTGGCAGCTGCTCCATCACTGAATGGTGGCTGTATCTCCTCAAACTATTGTGTAAAAAAACAAAAAAAGGAAAATAGAGAGTGGGGAGAGAGAATTCAAATACTACATGACTAACCATAAGTAGTAAATAGAGCAATCTTCATCATACCATAACTAGTAGACAGAGCAATCTTCATCATGACCAACCATAAGAATTTACATTTCAAGAATTTACACAACAGGCTCTATTACAGTACCCGGTGCCGAACCTCAATTCTCCAATTACCCCACCCTTCTAGCCAAATGTCATTTAAATGTCAAGACAACAAAGGATTGTGCAATATTGCCCGCTTGCGTTCCCAACCTGGTTCCCAGCCTTGTCCTTGCTAACTTCACAGAGTCTCAGCATTCTGACTTTCTCAATGACACCAAGTTTACAGGAGCCGGTATTGGTTCTGAAGATAATTGGGTTGTTGTTTTGAGCACAAACACTCCTGGAGGAAGCTTTGCGGCTGCTGACAACTCAGTGGGTTTGGTTTCCAAGGTTGGTCTAATCTGGCAGTGGATGTCTTTAGCTATGAGCTTTTTCTTCTTGTTGTGAGTTGAGGGCTTTGACCAAACATTTTCAGTAGCTTAATTTGCTTTTCTGAGTGATATAGAGTGATGATTTTCTCATTCCAGCATAGGAGGAAGAGTAGAAAGTTCCCAAATTTTACCTTTTCTCTGATGAAATTTTGAAGTTTTCTTTCCAATCTTGAAGAGTCGTGTGCTGTTAAGTGTTAAAGGAAAGTCAAGAGGAGGACAATATGTATGTGACATGCCATATCTCAGTTTCTTCTTATGTCAATAGTTTTTACATGCCCTTTAGAAAGCCTTGCAAAGCTCTAAAATCTATGATATTATTACCTTGAATGAAGTCTCTTTCTTTATAAGGAGTCGTTGCATAGAATCCCTCTTATCGTGGTTCATTTAAGCGTTCTTTAATCTGGTCTTGGTTATTGACAGATACCTTTGAAGTGCTAACATTAAAACCCATGTGGTTTTTGTGATCTTCTCCTTCACCATCATAAGCAATGCCGAGCTTAGCACAGTCTTCAAAATCTGAGCCTGTAATCCTTTGAAGAAACCAAGTAGCCCTTCCCTTTTCCAAATCGTATGGATTGCACCTGAGACTGTCTTTTGGGCTTTCGGTTGATCTTCCTTGGTCTCATCTTCATCTGATTCAGCCTGAATCATCACCTTACACCTGTCCGCAGTTCATATCTTAATGTTATCAGTTTTTCCATGGAAAAAACACTCAGATAAAGGGGGCATGCTTTTTTTCATTCAAATTCATATACCAATTTTTCATAAAGACCGAACAGAAAATCCACCTGATAGCCGGATAAGTTAAGCAGGTGGCAATACACTTTGAGACTGCACCCAGCACAAAAGCAGAAAAGGCAGAAAGAGCTTCCGAGGATGGTTCTGTACCTCTTTTCTTGCTTAGCTGCCTCCTCAGTAGTCTCCGTTTAAGTTGATCAAAAGCAGTGTACTGCACAATAAAATTAACTCTGGTTTAGTTCGATTTCTCATATTTCGCAATTACATCTCCTTGTTTTGGTGTTTACCAAAACAAAAAGCATAAATCTACAGTGATAGAAAATTGCAGAGGTAACTATCACCTCCAGATAGAATACAGTTTGGATTAAGGCCCATGATCCCCGCACTGTATTGTTACTGTCATATTATAGAACATTTTAAAATTTCCTAGTCCCATATTAGCCAATCATTACTCAGAAATTTTATTTTATTTTTAATGGGAAAAATCTCCCAAATCTACCAACTTAGATGTTTCATACTAGGAAGCACAATCAAGTACCTGGATAGATGGATTTGCTGTCAGAAGAAGAGAAATGCCTAGACCATCAAATGCCTCACTCCAAGTGTTTTCTGAAAGGGTTTTCCAGAGTCCTTTAGATTTCCCAAATTCACTTGTTTGCATCCTTGATGATGCTGTATCCAAAGGCTGAACAACAATATCAGAAATTAGAATGTCTAACAAAAAATGCTATACTTAATTCTTCTGAGCATTCAAAGAGGCTTCATCATTACAATTATATATTCAAATTTAAGATTAACTTTAAATTATAATTAGAAGTCATTAAACAATATCCAATCAATTTTCATCATCATTATTTTTGTTATGATTCCCTGTTCTATTAAATATTCATAATGACTCCCCACATGAACAATTTAGCCTAGACAAAGTGGTTATTATACTTTAATCAAACAAGGATCTCATGAACTTAAGTTATAGATTAAGTGATGAGCAAAAATCAATGTGATGTGAAAGACCCAGTATGGTTGTTTGATTGTAATTAACAGGAAGAAAATTTCTGACTGATCAGTAATATAACAAGCTCAAATATGACCTCACCTGCGTCACCACAACCGTACAAGCCCCAGCAGCGGCAGCAAGAACCAAATTAGCTTTTGTTTCAATAGATTTTGATCCACTTCTCTTTAAGTATAGCTTCTTAAAGAAGCTGTATCCATAGAAGTAGACAAAGGAAAAAATGACAGACTGCAGGTTCTTTGTCCCAAGGCCCTGGTACAGTGAGAGAACTTGATGGTTAGAAATTGCTTCCCAAAACACATCAGAAGTGTTCCTGCATAGGCAAAGCAGTTGAATTAGTTAACTATATCTCAGGGATAATTCTTTGCCTCCACATTCTCCTTCATGAAGGCAAAAGTATGAATTATAGGATTATAGCCTGCTTGCCATAGGAGAACAGCAGGAGAACAATTCATGGAACACAGTATAAGTCATATTTCAAGCATTGTGTTTAGAAATTCATCATCAGAATGTCCAAGAGATAATTTTTATCATTCATCATCAGCATTATGCTTGGACTATTCCTCATTGCTCTTGGTTCTACCATGCCAAGTTTTCCCTCTTCCCCTTGTATATAAATTAGCTAAAAAAAAATAAAGCCACATATCATAGACACTAAAAATGAGAACCTACTCAATTCTTGTTTAAGGTCCTTAGCGAGACTGAGATTGAGACTCCTATAATCTAGGGATTCTGGCTACAAACTAAATTTTTTTGTTTGAAACAAATATGTTTAGTCAAGAGGCTCAAAACACCAAGTTAGGCTGCCAATTAATTCAAAGCAAGCAGTTGAGTTGATACTGGTATCAGTCCACATACTGCTATAGCAAACAATTAATTCTTCAGATATCCGTTTCTCATGATTTCCTTTTGTGGGTAAGCTCAAGTTTATTGGACTCATAAAGCGATATTAAAACAAATTCCTTAATTTTGTCTGTTAAGGTTACAATTTACGCAGACCAATCCATATAAAGCTAAGCTGTGTGATCACATTAAAATATTGGGCATAGTGAAGAAACAGAGATAGCCCAGCTAAAGTTTGGGTCTCCATATCAATTTCCAAAGCTTTATTTAAAAAATGGTCTGAATTGAATCAAAAACACTTTCTTTCTTTTGTCAAGAGACACATACAGAGAACCCAGCTCGAGTTTGGGTGAATAAAGGTCAAAATAAGGTTGAATAATTGACTAAATGGTCTGAATTGAGTCAACATAGGCCACGTGTTCATATATCACCACATAATCAAATTCATCATATACAATAACGCATAGCATAGCATAGCGCTGTGTGAAGAGAGCATAGATAGACAACAAGTCAATAGCATCAATGATAAACATAATTATTGGGAGAGAAAAAGAAGAAAAAGAAAAAGAGAAGAGAAAGAAAGAAACGCGCAGACCTGTACTTTTGCTGATTGTGAGCTCGAATTTCGGCTTGGTACTTGGTCTTGCAGGTATCCAAGGGGTAGAGTATGGTAGTGCTCACCAGTGCTCCAATGGCTCCTGAAGTTGCCTCTGTCGATGATTCCAGATTAAAGGCCATTCTCTCTCTCTCTCTCTCTCTCAGATTGAAGAATTGGAAGAGAACAGGGAGTGAAAGTGACGCAGACAAAATACAATAGTGTATCATCTTGGGATTCGGAAATTGATTCGGAAATTAATTATTATCTTTTTCTTTCAATCTTTGCTCTTTTTGACTCTCTCACTGATCCAACGGTTTTTATAACAGCACCCGAAATATCTTTTTTTTCTAGGTGTGTCTAACGGTGTATTATTTTTTTTAATAAGACCTCTCGTTTTGCAACAGATTTTTTTAGTTATTTTTTAATTTTTTAGTTAAAATATGATGTAAAAAAAATTAGTATATATGGGATGACTTTTTAACTTTTTACGAAAAGATATGTAAAAAGTAGAGAGAAAAAGAAATCTTTAACTTTTTGATACGGGTTGTTCGCTTTTTGATTTTTTTAATAACTTTTTGACTAAAAAAAGCACTTGCCAAACGGGGCCTAAATTTAAGTAAAAATTTCTTTTCATATAAAGTGATCTACAAGAGTTTTATCAAATCACCAGTTGATTGGAACTGACCGATGGACTGGTCAGTTTAATTTTTTCAATTTTTTTATTTTATTTTGAAGTGATGATTTAGGAGACGACCAAGTAGACATATGAGGGAACATACGATAACGGTAATGAACAGTAATTTGATGAAAAGTATATTAGGCTTCAATTTGATGAAAGAAAAATAAAATTCTCGATTTGAGTTTGATTAAACTGTTTTGTTAGAGTAGGAAAATGAACTATTTTTCTTCAAATTGAATTTGATGAAAAGTTTGAATAATCACTTGAGATGATCTTACCAGTGCCATTGTTTTTGGTTGTTTTAAATATAAAAGTATAATTTACTGCAAATATGAATTTTTTTTAATATTATTTTCATACAATTTTATTTTTTGAAACTAAATTTAAAAAATTTTAAAATACCTTTCTAGTGTTCATTTTTGTCAAATTTGTTTGTCAAATAATTCAAAAATAAGCTCTGAAGACTTAATGAAAATTAAACTTTCTTCTTTTTTTTATTATTTGATGTCTATTTTCATTTTCAAGAATATGATTATAAAAAATTACTTTATTTGTTTAGAAAAATAAAAAATAAAATTTGTTCTCTCCTCTTTCCATCATCTCTAGTTACTGCTCATTGCTTATCAACACCTCCAGCCATTGTTTCTCTCCGTCAACAACCACCTCTCTTTGCCTACAATTACCTTTGGCCACCACATCTTACTAGAAACTACTTCTAAACAGTATTCACAGTCAATACCTTCGTGTTCAGTGATAGATCTAAGGGGCGAAGGGGGCCAACTGCACCCCCAAAATTTTTAAAAATATCATCTATATTAGAGATTTTAAAATAATTTAAAACCATAAAGGGATATTTTAGAAAGTGAGTTAAAAATTACTTTTCAGCTTTTAACTTACTTCCTCTCTCCCTTTTTTCCCCAAAAAAAAAAAAAAAAAAGGTTAAAAAAATTAAAAAGTCAATTTTTAACAATTTTCTCAAAACACCCCCCAAAGATTTTCATTTCTAAATATACATTTTCACTATCATAATGATAATTCTGAATCCATTTCTACTCGTGCCGCCACTAACCATGGCTATAATTTTTTTCAAGTGTAGTGTAATTATGAAAATATTTTCTATGATTTTATAATTTTTTTTCTATATTATAATAACATTTTATAGTTACAAATGTTAATGAATAAATTACACTTATACCCCTTGAGATTTAGATTTAATACATATTACTCCTGACATTTAAAAAATTACACTAATCTCCCCGTCATTGTAATTATATAGATGAAATGAAAATATTGAACTCATACACTCTCTTTTTTTACTTTACTCTACTTCTTATATTTTTTTTGCCCTTTTACTTTGCTTTACATATTTAAAAAAAAAATATAATTTCTTTTGTTTTTTTATTAGAAGTTATTACCTTCTATATAAGTAAGGAGTTTTTGAAATGAGACTATTAATTATAAAGAAAGAATGTAATTTTTTGAATATCAGAGAATGGGGGCTTTTCCCATATTAAGCTTATTTTGTATCTTAATTCCCAAACTAGGCTTAGGGGTTGTTTGGGGTGTCATAAATAAGTGAACTTTTTGTCTTTTTGGACTAAAAAGTTGAGGGAAAAAATATGAATGTTTGAGTTAACTTTTTGACTTTTTATGAAAAATGTGTAATAAAAAATATGAAAAATTGGTTTGTAGAGGAAAATTTGAATTGGGAGTTGTGCAGTCGTAATTATTGACTTTTGGTGAATAGTGTTAACTTTTTAACTTTTTGAGTAACTTTTGACTTTTTGACTTTTTTGAGAATTTCCAAACTTGGTCTTAGTTTGGACAGAATGCCCAAACTAAGTTAAAGCGCTATTACAAATCGCGCTTTCACTGTTTGGAGCTTAAAATGTGATGAATAATAGTGAAAGTGTTATTGCAAACCGCGCTTTTAATTAAGAAAGCGCCGTTAAAAATCACGCTTTTAACATAAATTTTTTTTTTGAAGAAAACGCTATTAGCGTTTTCACTCTGTGTTTGTTTCCTACAGAAAACGCTATTTGAAATCGTGCTTTTACTGTGCATATCTGTTTTCTTAAGAAAACGTTTAAAATATATTAAAATGTGACCAAAGTAAAACACAAATGCTTTGTATCACAAATGGTAGTGTGCTTGTCTTGCCACCACAGTGGCGTGGGTTTAATTCGTGGGAATTGCTACCTTCCAATTAAGTTCAACTCTTTTTTTTTTGTTTTCTTCCACTCACTCTACACTTTATATATTTATTATGTAATTTTTTTATCAAAAAAAAGTAAAATGTTTGTTTGGTTAACTAAAATTTTTTTCTATAAAATACAATTTTTTTCAAAATGTCAACATGATTATTTAAAAAGTATTCAGTGTATTTGGTTTGAATTTTTTAGATTTAGTTATTTGAAAACTGAGTTTTTTTATTTTCGTATTTTTTTTGTTTTTAGTGAATATTTTTTAAATTTTAAATATTTTTTTTTTACTTTTTTAGATGCACCTTAGTTAGATGTATCTAAAAAGTAAAAAAATTGTAAAAAAATATTTTACAAAATTAATAAATACATAAAAATATAAAAAATGTACTGAAAAAATATTTTTGTATTTTTAGTATCTTTTCAGCAAATTATCATTTTTTTTAGCAAAATGTACTCAAAAAAATATGCACAGTGAAAGTGTATTCCAAAAATATTTTTTCGGCAAAATGTACGCTTTTAAAATGTACTAAAATATTTTAAAAGCGTACATTTTTTTTTTCCCATAAATATATAAAGTATAGAGTGAGTGAAAAAATACAAAAATACAAAAAATGTACTAAAAAAATTAATACAAAATATTAATTTTTTCAGCAAAGTGTACTAAAAAAATGTACGCTTTTAAAATATTTTGGTACATTTTAAAAGCGTACATTTTGCTGAAAAAATATTTTTTGAGTACGCATTCACTGTGCATATTTTTTTGAGTACATTTTGCTGAAAAAAATGATAATTTGCTGAAAAGATACTAAAAATACAAAAATATTTTTTCAGTACATTTTTTGTATTTTTATGTATTTATTAATTTTTTAAAATATTTTTTCACAATTTTTTTACTTTTTAGATACATCTAACTAAGGTGCATCTAAAAAAGTAAAAAAAAATATTTAAAATTTTAAAAATATTCACTAAAAACAAAAAAATACGAAAATAAAAAAATTCAGTTTTCAAATAACTAAATCCAAAAAATTCAAACCAAATACACTAAATACTTTTTAAATAATCATGTTGACACTTTGAAAAAAATTGTATTTTATAGAAAAAAATTTTAGTTAACCAAACAAACATTTTACTTTTTTTTTGATAAAAAAATTACATAATAAATATATAAAGTGTAGAGTGAGTGGAAGAAAAAAAAAGAAAAAAAAAGAAAAAGAGTTGAACTAAATTGAAAGGTAGCAATTCCTGTGGATTGAACCCACGCCACTGTGGTGCAAAACAAGCACACAAAGCATTTGTGTTTTATTTTGGTCACATTTTAATATATTTTAAACGTTTTCCTAAGAAAACACAGTGAAAGTGCTATTTCAAATAGCGTTTTTTTTCTGAATACGAATGCACAGTGAAAGCACTATTTCGAATAGCGTTTTCTTCAAAAAAACAAATTGTTAAAAGCGTGATTTTCAACAGCGCTTTATTAATTAAAAGCGCGGTTTTTAATAGTCCTTTCACTATTCATCACATTTTGGGCTCCAAACAGTGAAAACGCGATTTGTAATAACGCTTTAGCTTAGTTTGAGAATTCCGTCCAAACTAGGCTTAGTTTGAGAATTAAGATGCAAAATAGACTTAATATGGAAAAAGCCTCCAGAGAGTGAGATGTAATTGAAGCAACTTACCATTAATTCTTCCTTTGCATGAATTTACCATAAATTAATAGAACCGTGAGCATGTTTGTGCATAAGAATTCTTCCTTTGCATGTTTGTGCAAAAGAATTGAAGCAACTGATCATCATAATTTCTTAGGGTGTAGCGTGTAGCGTAATTTATTCCTTTGCATGTTTGTGCAAAAAGAAATCTCAGGGTGTAGCATAATTTCTTAAATGTCAAGGGAAAATCAATAGGTATCGGTGTAATTTATTTTTTAAAATATTATGGGTTCAACTATTTTTTATTATTTCATGGCTGATATTTGGACAATTTTTATTGGTAGTGTCTACATTTTATCCTATGTCATTTTAGTATTTGTTATTTCAATTAGTTTAATTTTGAGTTTTAATTTTAGATTTTGTATCAATTTAGTATAATTATAACGCCGATTAAGGTTTTTGAAAAAAATAATCACTGAGTTGATTGATATTAACTTACTAAATTACACAAGTTTTTAATTTTATCTATAAAAACATGATCTATGGACTAAATTGAGACAATTACCCTTCTTTCTCTCATTCTGTCTTTCTCCCATGAGATTTCTTGTTTGAAGACGATTAATAGTTTTGAGTGTGTGTTTTTCAATTTGGAGAAGCAAAGATGGCTAATGCAAAAGTATTCCAATCGAAAATCATTGTATATGTGGTTGCTTGTTGAATTGTCGTAGCTTTTGGAGGCCTAATGTTTAGTTATGATATTGGAATTTCAGGTAATGCCCTCAACTATATTGATTTAATTCTTTGATTAGGAAATCATAGAGACATATATTTTTATTTTATTAAATGCTTTAAAATAGAAAGTCTAAAAGTTACGCACTAAATAATTGAAACGATTATTATTAAGTAATGATTCGTAATGGTTTATTAATGTTTGTTGCAAAATTATTATTTGTATGTGAGTGTCAATGATCATTTTTCCTTTCTGTGTTTGGTTTCTAATTCATTCCAATAAATAATCGAATCTTATTATTTGGACTTTGACTTTGTAGATGGTATGATTGCGATGGATGATTTTTTTGATAAAATTGTTTCCAAAAGTTCACGAGAGGAAACTTCATGCAAAGGAAGGCAATTACTGCAAATATGATGATCAGTTGCTTCAATTCTTTTGCACAAACATGCAAAGGAAGAATTTATGGTAAGTTGAAATTTATGGTAAGTTGAAATCTCCGGGTGTATTAATAGAACCGTGAGCATGTTTGTGCTTGTGCAGAATCCGAAAAAACAAGCCTTTTCCCTCCGCTATCTCTCTCTCATCACTGTCAGTGTAGCTCACACGGCTGTCAGACACCAAATCTTTCTTCAATCTCTCTCGATCAAACCTACATCACTCGCAATACAATGCAAGATTTCATCGACTCAGTTCGTCGATCTCTGGTTTTCAAGCCCTCCGGCGTCTTCGGAGGCTTCTTTGGGATTTTCTCGAAGCCTCCAGTCCCTGCACTTCCACCGATTGCCAAGTCTGATGCGATCAAAGTCAAGAAAGACGACGCCCTGCCGATCCGGTGGATGAAAGGTGAATTGATCGGTTGCGGTGCATTTGCAAGGGTTTATATGGGACTCAATATCGATTCTGGAGTTCCTCTGGCCATCAAGCAGGTTAATTTTTATTTTTATTTTTATTTTATTTTTTGTGAAATCTGTTTGGTTTTGATTTTGTTACTTTCTAATTTTTTAATATCTATGCAATGCAGGTTTCAATTGCAGCCAACAGTGCTTCAAAAGAGAAAACACAGGTTTTGTTACTTTATTTATTGATTCTTAACCCTTGCAATGCATGAAAGAATAGATTATATATATTTTGTATGATAAATAAATCATGTTAATTTAAATTATGTCTTAATAGCGACAAGTTATGATGTTAAATTATCTGGGTAGATGTTAACAATAATTAACTCATAAAATTTCACAATAAAGTTTGATATGCATAAAAAATTATTAATTATAAAAATTGTTGGAAATAGTAGTATCACAATCACTTAATAACATAAATAACTTGTATCAAACTAAACAAAACGTTAAAAGATAGAAATTCTATAAACTCGGAAAAATTATCATAAATTTACGTGGACTTTTAAATCAGTGGGATCAAATTTATTATTGTGGGATCAAATTATGAATAAATATCAACTTTTAATTATAATTTATAAGTAGTTTTAAAAAAATATAATTTAAGTTTGTTACGTTGCTCACAAAAAAGAACTTCTCAAACAAATCATTAATTGATCATGTTAGCAACTCTCTATCTTTGATCTCCTCTATTAATGACACATGTATATCATATCAAAGTATAAATCCTACTCCATAGTTTAAATAATACTTGCATAGTTCCTACATCATTTTAAAAAAATTAATCAAGATAAGAATTTCGTAAGATTATAAAAATTATATAAGAAAATAGTTTTAATCCATTTTATTTGTAAAAAAAATGATGAATTTTTTTTTTAATTGTACTTGAAGAAATATAACAAATGATAGCTTTAATCATTATATACCAAAAAATTAAATTATGTTGGTTATTCAACGAAAAAATGGTTGTACTTTGAATTAAGTCATATGGGCTCTAATTGATAGTATAATCTAGCAAATCAACTAATAATAACATAGAGATATTGACAAATATTTAGTACTTCCCTATCATCTTTGTATTATATTCATTAATTTCATATATCATATGAAAGTTTTACTCGTCTCAATCCTTCAATAAAATAAAGACCAAGAAAACAATTTTGATAAGAAATTAGTTCTAAACTTTACTATTGAAAAACAATAATTTCAAAGAGAGAATTTAGAGATGGAAATTGAAGAAATACTATAACGAATGACAGCTTTAAAAAAAAATAATAATAATAATAATAATAATAATAATAAAACATTACAATGATCTAATGCAAACTATTTTTAATAACTAATAGAAAGAATATCAAATTATTACCTTGGATATATAGTATTGCCTTCTCTCATGCAGCCTTCATTATTTCATTATTAATACTCTTCTCATTCAAAGTCAATAATTTTTTTTTTTATAATCTTTATCACTTGGTAGATAACGAACAATAAAAATCATTAAGAGAAGGTTAAGAATTTAAGAGGAGATAAGAAGTTATAGATAAGAGCATTTCATAAAATAAAAAAGATAATATTTGATAGAAGAAGAAAAAAAATATGAGTAAACCAAAATAAAAATTTAGATATACATGTTTTTGATATATATATAGATTAACAAATCATATCTTTATCTAAATTTTATTATTTTAATTTTTTGTAAATCTATTATTTAATCTTTATCTTTATTTCTAGACCAAGAAATTAATTTTTATAAATTATTTATCAATTATATATGTTTATTTATCTATAAGTCATGAAATTAATTTTTTAAAATAATTTTTTTTAAAATTTTTTTTCTTTATCTATAGGTCATGAAATAATTTGTCATAAATTATTTATGAATTTTTATATGTTTATCTATGATGAAATTAATTAAAGCGCATAATGAAGGGGAAAAAAAAGGAATAATTTTTTTTAAATCAATTATTTAATCTTTATCTTTATTGGTAGGCCATGAAATTAATTTTCATAAATTATTTATCAACTTCTATATGTTTATTTATGGGAACAAATTTAAAATTATCTATAAGTTATGAAATTAATTTTTTTAAATTAATTGTTTAATTTTTTTAAATTGATTTTTTTAATTTTTATCCTTATCTGTAGACTATAAAATTAATTTTCAATTTTTATATGTTTATCTATATGGAGAAATTTTGAAATTCAAATATTTATCCATAAGCAATAAAATTAATTTTCATTTTGATTAATCAAACAAATAGAAAATGAAAAAAAATAGAAAACATGAAAGGCAATCAAAGAAAAAGATTATATGTGATAGAAAGAGGAAAAAAAAAATGCGTAAATCAAAATAAAGATTTAACAAATCATATATATATATATATATGTATTTGATTAGATATATAGATTAACAAATCATATCATTATCTAAATTTTATTATTTTAATTTTTTATCAATCAATTATTTAATATTTATCTTTATCTGTAGATCACGAAATTAATCTTTATAAATTATTTATCAATTTTTATATGTTTATATATCTATAAGTCATGAAATTAATTTTTTTTAAATATATATATATTTTAATTTTTATCTTTATCTATAGGTCATGAAATAAATTTTCATAAATTATTTATGAATTTTTATATGTTTATCGATAATGAAATTAATTAAAGTACAAAATGAAGGGGAAAAAAAAAAGAGTAATTTCATTTTTTTTTAAGGAAAATTTACCCATAAATCCCATATGGGGAAATGTTATTCCATTTATTCCTAAATCTTTTTTTATGAACCATTTAGTCATGTTTATTTTTAGAAATATGAATTTATTTGATTTAGTGCCGTTTGAGTTTACGTGAATACCCTTTTTGTGATTCTTTTGTCAAAATCTTTGATTCTTTTTTGGGTAGGAATGGAAATGTAACGTGTGAAAGATACTTTGTGGGACGATGTTTGTCCTTTTATAATGTTTTGTGTGGCGACGTTTGTCCTTTTATAATGATTTGTCGATGTGTTTATTACGTTTATTGTGATTCGTCACACCAAGTTGGACAAATGTTGTGTTGTTTTTTTTTTTGCTGTGGTCTATTTTTATGTTGTTTTTCTCACGGGAACATTTGGGTCACCAGTGAAATATCACATGATGTTGATACGTCGATCACATACATTTTTTAAACGTATCATACGTGGTGTTGTGGGTTCAGTTTTTGTTATTTTGCCATGATGTTATGAATTGTGATGGCTACAAGTAGTCATAATATCTGAGAGGGAGAATTATGAGCCGGATATGGGCCGGGTTAAAGGCCGAACAAATTGGAGGCCCAATGGTACGTTGGGCCGCAATAACTTTGGATTTTCCCGGAGTTGAGGATGCTCAGAGATGGACCGAGCTACTTGGATCTGTGCAGGTGATAACTGTGCAACTTGCGCTGCTCGGTCAAAGGCACGTACCATTAGCCCAGCCGAGAAGCTTGTGCCAGAATCCCGGCTGGAAGGCCTTGGGTTGACCGGTACGACCAATCTCAAGGTCGGCTTCGCCGGAATGCTGCCGAACATGGCTGGAAAGGATCTCAGTTCTTGGAGCAATTGGGCATGAAACGCAGCATGGCCTTTAACAGCCGAGAAGATTCAGCCCGGCTGCCGAGCTCCCAGTAGAGTGGGCTGGCAGTCGGGTTAGGTGATGTTCAGCAAGATCTGTGCTGACAGATGGGATAACAGAACCACGTGTCGAGAGATCACTGGGAGTAGATTTGGGGCGCAGAAGGTATATAAGCAAGTCTGCGCCCCCCATGCTGGACACACGAACATTTGGTAAAAAAAATACTTACACTCAACTCAGTCCTCTCTCTCTCTCTCTCTATCCCTGTGTGTGTGTCTGACTTGATCATCGGAGGGGTTTTCCGGCCACACACCGCTGGGTAGCTCACTGCTGTTGTGCACGCAGGTGATCGGACAGAAACGGAGCTTGGAAGAAAGGAGTGCGGGCTTGCCTGAATATTTGCTCCCTGCACAATTGGCGCCGTCTGTGGGAAGCTTACAGACAAAACCTTGTCTTCCGGGCTCGTTTGATCATTGTCCATGGCGAACAACGAAGAGATTTCGCTGTCCGCTGTTGACGGAGTTATCCCGAAGTCGGGCAGACGGAGAGAAGGGCATCCCACCATCGTTCCTCCGATGGCGGACCTGGAGACTTCTCCAGGAGGACATTCAAGAGATGCGCGGGATAAGTGCGGAAGAAGTTATGGTCATTCACGGATCCCAAACGGTCATCGGCGGTAGAGAGAATCACATGCCAGACGTCTGGAACACAAGTTAAGGGACCAGGACGCCGTTATCTGGCGAATGGCGACGGAGATAGAGGAGCTGAAGCGTCATGTTAAAGGGAAGGGTGTAGCTAGAGTGGGCGACCACAGTGAGCGCACCCAACCACGTCGTTCAAGCAGTCAGAGCCAGCAGCGTACACCGTTCATCTTAATCACCAGAAGTTACAAGGTTGGAGATTCCGACGCGTACGAAGAGAAATCCAGCGCGCAAGATAGTACCTACCGACCCTCACGTCCGGCAACGACGTCGAGGTATTCTTATTCTGCTCATTTAGAGGATTTGCGGGCAGTTTTGAAGGAACGGGCTCGCCGGCAAGAGGCTCAAAGGGTGCCGGTGTTCTAGCGGCTATCTTATGGGGTTCATACAAGCGAGGAGGTCGGAATGCCTCTACCTCGCCCAGCCGCGCCTCTCCTTGTAGATACAGACTTGGCAAGGCTGAGTGCCACTCTATTCTCCGTGGATATTGAGACCGCACCGCTTCCGGCGGGCTTCCACCAGCCAAAGTTCACGCTCTATGACGGAAAAACTGACCCGTATATGCATGTAAGTCATTTCCGACAGGTCATGGCCGGACATAGGCGGAATGACGCTCTTATGTGCTTGATCTTCCCGTCGAGTTTGGGCGAGCTGGGTTTGAAATGGTTCGAGAGGTTGCCGGAGGGGAGCATTAAAAGGTGGCAGTAGTTGGCCGAAGCCTTTGTGACGCACTTCAAAACCAACACCAAAACACCAAAGGAAGTTGATCACCTCCTGAGTGTCAAGATGGAATCGAGCGGCACATTGAAGGCATACAACTCCAGATATTGGGAGACCTTCAACGAGATTTTGGATTGCCCGACCAAC